GTTCGAAGAGATGAGGGGTGAAGGCAGCTCGATGCCTTGATGGCATGAGGTTCCTTGAACGAGATTATGTGCTCGGTGGGCCTGCGCCGGATATAGCCCAAGATGCCGTGGAAGTGCACGCTGTTACCAAACAATCAGGAGTTCAATTCACATACAGTCCAGCGAAATGTAGGGAATGTATACGAGGTAAATGCAATATTCGAGGAATGTCTCGACGGTCCTCTATACATTGGATCTGCGCAGTACATCCGTGCAGTTATAGGCGAGGCTGACGACATAGCAGTGAAGATATCGGTCCTTGTGGTGGCCTTTAACCACTATGGTAAGGTAAAGGAGTACTGCCATCACGGGGTTTACATAGTTTGTAGTAAACTAATCCCAGAGTTGTAAGATCGCTCGTCCTATAGCTCAGTGGTTAATGCACACAATCCATTGACCGGCCTAGACTGCATAGCACTCCTGAGCTCCTCAATAGGCGGTGCGCTCCAGTAGCTCTTTTGTAAACTCTTAACACCTGGTCCATATCTACTAGTATTGAAACTTGGCCTAAGTCCACGCAGGCGTGCAATGTATCGGGCCTTGAAAATGGTACACTACTGTAATACGAAAGGGTGACGACTACTACCGAATCAAATGACGACCTCGCCTTTCACCCCAGCTAGTTGCCACGACCACAGGAGCTTTGCATGTATAAGCTTTTCTTAATTTCAATTCAAATACTGAATCAAACCACGCAATTTTCACGACTACTTTGGCAATGGATTGCCGGCTGCGTCCACTTGAATATGGAGAATATCCGGGCGACTGTACGTGATTTCGCCCATCGTGTGGCGGACCTGTGGCCAGTCCCCGTCAGCCGTCAACACTTCAATGCGGCCACCACCCTCGACCAGCAACACCGTGTCTTCGGACTTGGTGCCCGCGATCGACGGATTCCAATAAAAACGCTTGGTTTGGAGTGATGCCATCCTACTTACACATACCAAGCCAGTGCAAACTTGTCCAATTTCGACGGGGAATACTCGGGCGGCCCCTACCTCCGACGTGGGGGTCGCTTTCCATTCGCGGCTTTTGTAGCCTGTGCCGCCTCCTTGGTGATGCAGCGTATACTCGTTGGCAAACCCGGTGGAAGTGTACGCAGCTTGGATGGCTCGAAATACGTAGCCGGAGATTGCCAGGGGAGCGGCAGTTGCCGCCAGGGCCGCCGCATCGACAAACGTGACTGCATCGTGGCGCTTGCGGAGGTCGTCGGGGATGCGTGTGTCTTAGGAAAAGTAAACCATGCGGGTCAGCGATGCGATGAGCCCCCCTCGCCGACCGCAGAGCACGAGCATGGCTTTGTGGTGGAGGACGTTGGTCGTTGGCAGCGGATGTCGAATAGCGTCGACTCGGTCGTCCGCTGCCTTTAGCAGAAACACCATGTCGATGCCGCGGGCGACACAAGCTTGAGAAATCGCGGCGCCAATGGCCCATTCGGTCAGGCCAGGTCGAACGTGTGTGTGTACGGCTTACATGCGACAGAATGGAACTGCAATCGTGGCCGAGTTGCCGAAATCGTCGGATGTCCAGCGGAGTGAGCGCTTGACGTAGGGGAGCGAGAGCGTTGTCGAAACTACCGTCGGTGTCGAATTGGACGGAGCTACCGTTGGCAATGGAAGTCGCGACGGCTTGGACACTCTGACACATGTGCCATGGCTCTTCAAACACCTGGAGGACCATGAGAAACACAAAAAGATGAGCATGGCGAAGTACCTCCAAGTCAAGACCACTGAGTTCTTCAAGCTTCAAGCGATGGCCTTCGATGTTGTTGGTGATCAACACCACGCGAGTCGCATCGATGTAAATGCTGCCCACTCCACCTGACACAGAGTTACAAGAATAGGACATGCGAGAAACGTACCTTCGGTGGCTTGGAAAATGTGGTTGCGACCTCCTCCTGTGATCCATGCAAAGTTGTGCGCCAACGACAACACACCAGCGTCGGCATTCAACTTCACAAGGAGACCTCGACTAGACCACATATCAAAGGAACTGGTACAAATGGAGGAATGGCGAAGACTTAGGTTCGTACACTTGCTCGACTTTGAGGACAAAGTCAACTTGACCCTCGTGGACGTCACTTCCAGCAAGGTCATTGAACGGCGCGTGGTATGGCGGCGAAGGCGGCTGCATCCCTTTTGGTTCGGAGTTGCGAGAGTGAATATGCTGTAGCCAATTAAAGCCCCGTATTTTTATGAAGGTGACTTTGATTGGGTCGTTCTCCTATTCGCGATCTTTTGCTTTTCTCGCAAATTGCGATCATATTTATATATATATTGGTAATTGTGAGCGCAAATACTTCGGAAGCAACCGAGCAACGCAATAATGTGAAATGGCGCAGTGGCATGTCGTGTGCCCTTGGACGACTAAATGTCCTAGGGAACGAAGCTCATAATCTGGTTCGTCGGGATCAGAATGCCCATTCCGATTGCATGGTCAGATTGAAAGGAATCACTTGCGACGTTGTAATTTACTGTTATGCATAATACCGTTGGTATAACGTTACTGCTATACACTGCAATAGTATAATTCATTGTTGTAGTCCTTCTAGGGCAACATATATCCGTGTATAGCTCACCAGAACACGCCATAGGTTTAACTGTCTATAAACCCGCACTATTCTCGTCGTTTCAATGACAAGTGGTCGATGTGGCAATTGTACAATTGACGACGCGTTGCCAGTAACTGCAATAACTACAGTACTGTACGTATATAATGGGATATGTAGTTCAAGTAATTTCATCGTAGTACATCGTCAACCTATTCAGGACATTTGCACCATGTGATAAATTGATTCGCAAAAACTACGAATGACCAATCACAGGCGTACAATTCGAATATAATAAAACTAGCTTGTCGTTTGTATGTGGATCCACAACACGGTTGAAAAAAGTATCCCATATTGCTACGATTCGACAACAATAGTCTGATCGCAATCAAGCAGCACTTTCATTCTCCCATTCGCGTCCAGGTGAACATCATGCGCGTCTCCGGTCCCTTGATATTTGCCGCGTCGGTGGCCTATGCCCAGCAATTCCTTGTCCAAGATTCACCAGTCATGCGATTGCTCTCTACTGACGAGTTCGACCTCAGCGAATACGACACATATGGGGTGCCCGCCGAAGCAGACGAAGAATGGGCCGACGAAGCTGATTTTCACGGCGTCGATACCGTCCCTGAATACGACGTCGATGATGTGGCCGACCAAGCCGACATCGGTCGTCGTCAGATTCGTGCCGTGGGTGCCTTGAAGTCCCGTCATCGCGCTCACAACATCCCCCAGGGCGGCAAAGCTGGTCCCCGCAAGCGTGGAGGCGCCAAGCCCCGCCGCGCTGCCGGTAAATCCGGTTCTCGCAAAGCCCGAGTCGCCAAACCTCGCAGCAACCGTCAAGCGTTTGCAAAGACCGGTAAGGTCGGTCCTCGTGTTGATGATGGCGCCATCAAGCTCCGCCGAACTGCTGGTGGCAAGCTACGTGTGAAGGGAGCGAAGAAGCCTGTCACGGGGAAAGTTGGACGCGCCAAGCCTCGTCATGCTGGTGGTGGTGGTGGGAACAAGCGTGTCAAGGATAGCGCCAAAGCAGGGGTTCGCATTCGTGGCGCCGTCAAGCCTCGCCGAGGCAGCAGTCACCAAGCCTTTGCAAAGCCAGCAAAGGGCGGTAAAGGGGCTGGCGTTCGCAAGGGGGCTGCTAAACCGCGCCGTGCTACTGATGGCGCCACACCTGTGAAAACAAGCAAGACAGGACGAGGTCATGTCAAGCCCCGTGGTGCAGCTGGCCAAGCGGGTGTGGCTCGCGCGGCGCCCAAAACGAACACGGAACCGGCTGCGGAATCGGATGCCACTGAAGTTCCAGACGACGAGACGGTCGAATCAGACGTGTCCAAGAAGTCCGACGATGACGACGATGATGACGATGACGACGATGACGATGACGACGATGATGACGATGACGATGATGACGATGACGATGATGACGTTGTTGAAGCAGCTGACTCCAATGGCGAGTAACCTGATTCGTAAATTAACGGGATGATTTTGATTGTCAAGTTTGTATGTCTCACGTATTACTACTAGTACAGTAGGACAGAACTGTAAGCTTACAGCTTACATCCTCACAAGAAACGGGGGGTTCGGGGCTCCGCAGGGATGATACATTTGTAGCAATAATTATTGCCATAAACCCCGATGTGTGCATCCTCAGATGTGCTGCGACAACGTTTCGTTCGACACGAGCCCGCAGGTATTTTTACATTTTCAGACATCGCCATACTTTTTTCGATTCTACTCCTTGAAGAAAAACCGACAATTCTCCAATTGGATTGGCTAATATTCGGTGCAATTTGCAAAATACAGCAGTTCGATTCGTTGGATTTACGGTGAACTACAATTTGACGACGTCGAACTACAACCTGTCCTTACAAACTCCAAGTCATGATCCGAATTTGCGTACAATTAACAACCGACCGACGATCGATAAGCATGCAAGTCATGAGCGAGGTCATTCTTGGAGTTGCTGTCGACTGATGCGTGTGTGTGCTCCGTTCGTCTTTGCCGCGCTGGCTATGGCTTCCAGCAGCACCTCGGAAGGTCGTCGCGACCTCCGATCCTTCCGAGGGTACGCCGACCAAGAGCTCGCGTACGTTGCCAACGATGACTTGGCCGACCCGTTTGCAGAAAGAGAAATTAAGTACTACAATGACTACAGCAACGGACTGGCCGACGAACAAGACATCTACGACGAGCAAGACGTTCCTGAATTCGACGAACAGTACGACGAGCAGTACGACGAGCAGTACGCACCTCAGTACGACGAGCAGGGATACGCACCTCAGTATGACGAACAAAACGAGCAAGACGCGGCTCTGTATGCTCCTCAGTATAACGAGCTAGATGAATCTCAGTACGACGACCAGTTCGGTCCTCAGTATGACGAACAAGACATGCAAGATATGACCCAGTACGACGAGCAGTTCGGTCCTCAGTATGACGATCAAGATGCAGGTCAGTACGACGAAGGGACAGCGGTGTATGCGGACGAAGGGTCGTTCGAAAGAGACATCCCATCGCTCGCGCAGGCCCCTCGCAAGGACATCGTCAGACACATTGGCGGCGCCCCGCACACATGGGGCAACAAGCTCGGACTTGCCACGCACCACAAGGTGGGGCTTGGAGTCATGCAACCGGAAGACTTTGATCGTGACGAACAGGATGCCAAGACTGACGATGATGACGATGACGACGATGATGACGATGACGACGATGATGACGATGACGATGACGTTGTTTAATCAACCTATTCAATAGCTAGCTAGTATGCCGCCTTGTAAGTACAATTGGAGTTCCCTTCGTAAATTATCGCGATTATTTTGATTGTCACAGTAACGTTCCATACCATTCCTTACTGTACTGTGCTTTGCAACTCACTAGTATTTGGAATAATCGAACTCAATTCCGCAGATTAACATAACAGATTTAAGTACGATGAAGTTTCATTCAGCCGAGATAGAACGTCGACGCACCCAGATTTATCAATCACTGCCCTGAATTGCAGTTTGAAACTACAATTCTGGGTTGAGTGTTGTTATTCACAATCAGCTCTATCAGCTGACTTTAAAATACCAACTTGAGCCCACTATCTGTGAGTAGAACGGTGTTGTAGGACTCGGAGTAGCCAATATTTGTTTGCTGGTAATGAATGCAATGATTGCGGGTTCAACACTTGCATGCATCAGTCCTTATAACGTTATTGTAATAGTTGACATGCCAGTCCTATTGTCCGCAGATTATTATCATTGCGACCCATAATAATATTTGACAAAAATCGAAATGATAAATATGACTTCCAAATAAATTGCAAAGCACAAAAATTGACATTCGTAGGAAATACTAGTACAGTATAGACTAGTAGTAGGCGAAATGGACTGATAACATTAGTAAGCTTACAGAGCGTACTGTTAGTTAAGAACATTTTACCAACGAAATCAGTTTTGCCAGTTATAAATTTGTTGTCAGCGATAAAATTATCTTCTTATATGTAAGTTAATATTTTGATTTCCGTTAGGTGGGTTGTCCAAGATGACCTATTTACATACGAACAAGTCGTGGGGAAGCTCACATCCATTAAAGTTGTCGTAGGTTGCACCAAAGATTTACGTGGAGAACTCGAATACGAAATGGGTCATCACAGTATAATGTACCAAGCGGACGATGGGACTGATATGTACGTGTTTTCGGCGCCGATCATAAAAGCAAAATCGATGACATGCCAAAGAGTCATCGGCCGAATTTCTCCCGTGGCGTGATCGGTGAAGGTGAGAAGGTCGGCGGGTAGGGACACAGGCCTTCTCTGGGCAACGATCGCAGAGGCGACTTGCGTAGCAGGAAAATCGAGCCACCCGTAATACAACATGTAATATAACGTCCAAAGTCAACTCCAAGCGCGTGGTCATCCTCGAGCAACGCTTGGCAGTACCGACTTGCTGCCGCGAGAGAGGCCCTGTTTAGGAGAAAACCTAACATTTCACCACGACCCCTGTACTTATGCATGTTGTGGAGACCAAGTTGATAGTGCCGTTTAGTGTGTGGCAATGTACTGTAAACCTCAGATTTGTAGGATCAATCCTTTTACAATTCGTTTTCAATGAGTAATCTCAAGTTGACTGCGCAAGTTCCAGCTCTGGTGACACATTGTCATGTGGTCCACCAGTGCTACCACGTGTCGTCGCATTTGACCAAGACCCCTGTCCTTATGCATGTTGTGGAGTCCAAGTTGCTAGTGCCGTTTAGTGTGTGGCAATGTACTTTGAACCTCAGAATTGTAGGATCAATCCTTTTACAATTCGTTTTCAACGAGTAATCTCAAGTTAACTGCGCAAGTTCCAGCTCCGGTGACACATTGTCATGTGGTCCACCAGTGCTACCACGTTTCGTCGCCAACAAATACAGTCGTTACTGCACATCGATGGATTTCTGCAATAGAAGTTACCTTCTTCCCGCCGTCACCATTGTTAGTGTTGGCTAAAGAGCTTCTCATGCACAACTGCACGGTCATAACTACGCTTGCAAATATTCGCCGAGGCGCTATTGACCGATGGCTCTCAGGTGACAAATCCCCCGCAAATTCACCTCCAATCCCACTGTCACACCGCGCCAGTTCACCATACCATAACCTCGCCAACTCTGGTCCACCTCGCTCCAATAGAACTCATGAGTCGCCTTTCATGCGACCCGTGAATCGGATTCCCCCTCTTCTCGGCATATTCACGTACCCTGTATGGCCTTTCTCTCGGTTCTGGCAGTCGGTGGAACGATGACACCGCTGTTAAACCACGGAATGTTTCGACCTCAGTGCCAGAATCCCGTCCGCTCCACCTCCAGTGTGCTCAAGCCAATTGAATGCGTTTGACGTCCTCGATGCTTTCTTCCTCCTATCTGCCTACAGTTCTATGCTCTTCTGAGTAAATTAGTTTAATTACGTCAGCCACTGTAACAGTGTGAACTTTCTCCAGCAGACCTCATATGTCTGGATTGTTGAGAATCGAATTCCGGTCCCCGGCCCAACAAACCCACGGCTCACTCCTTGTGGACATCACAACTCACGGCTTCATCGGTCCTTAAGCCTCCCCTCCACCACGTCGCCTCGAGCCCCCCCCCCGCAACCATGACAATGCTGCTACGGCTACTACAGAAAGGTCAGGGCTCCCGCGGCTACGTTTTCCTTGGCGAGGCCATCTTACCCCTCTGGTGCGATCAGGACAAGACTGAGAGGGCTGAAAGTTTTCAGCCCTCTCAGTCTTGTCCCCAAAAAGGACGCCCCATTATCTCAAACCGGCCTCGTCATTCACGACCTATCATTTCCGCTAGGTCAATCCGTCAACTTATGTATTACTACGTAGTAACAAAGACGAACTACCTCTTGTTGAATGGCCAAAGATCATGTCTGCCACGACGCGCATCAATGTCATACGAGCTCACTCCCGCCAAATACCACAGTTAAGGGCATTGGCTTAACGTTACCGTCCAAGCACATCGATCACGATGCCACTAGGGTTCTGGCTCGCTGTCCCAGAAGCAGGAGTATTCGGTATCGACTTGGCTGGTGTGGTAGTTAGCCCCAATATCTACTGCGCATTGGGCAATGGCATCTCATGGGAGGTCTCACGAGAATCGCCTGCAACGCTTCTCCCTAAAATGGCAAGTAATCATCGACCCATCTGGGGTTTTAAATACATCAGTGATCATGTTTTTGTCGGCCATCGATTGTCGTGTGCCAACAATGTCTTCCGACTTGCGATGAAGGCAACGCTCGGTCACACCAGTCTTTGTCTATAAAAGTCCACATGCCCAATCACTCCTAGCGGGAAAGCCGTGGACCCGTCATGACCTCGAAAAGACCCTGGGGAGTCTCATGCATCCGTTCCGCGAGGGCGTTCTACTAATACCTCCATCTCACTTCCCGTCTGTTTCCTCGCTTCGGTGCGCACCTCTTGCCTCGCAATACCATCGCTGATCTGTTGTGGTTTGTCGACATTCTCCTTGTCGGACACCTTGTAAACGTCGAAGATTCCTAGAACTATCCTTACTGCCACAATCTTACCAATATTTGTCCTTGAAATGTACACGAGTGACGACGGCCTGGCTGTTCTTTTTCCACGCTGCTTCATTCGCCTTGACTGGGGCGCCGGCGAAACCGAGTTGTTTCAGCCATGCTCGAAATTCAAGAATGAAAATATCGACTCGGTCAATTCAAGACACATAATTACCCAAAGATGGCATCCACCGAATCATACTTCCCCAAAAACGTCCGCGAGCACTTCTCCATCACCCTTGCAATCGCCACCTGGGGCCCACTCCTTATCGATCCCCTCGTCCATAACACTGTGCACGAGAATGCTCTCACGGACAATATTAGCGCCCTAGCATTGCCTCCATCACTCGTCTGCAGCAACTCCTACACCCAACAACTCAACCGGTGGCTGAGTCTACATCAAACGATGCACCAATTACACGTGGCATCCCGGCACATAAACGGCGCGCTCTTTGAATCACTGGATGCCACCGGTACGACCCCACCCTGCCCAAGACTGCCGCCGACTCCACCACTTGTACCAAGACCATCTACGACAGCCCCGCCAATGTCAACCCACCAAGAAGACCAACATTCATCCGATTACAACTTAACGGACAATGATACCTCGACTACGGAGTCCAGTGAATCTCAAGGCTCACTCGACGAACGAACTGTGCCACAATCGGGTGTTTCTGGGAGTTGCATCAGTTTGGATTCGGTCGAGGGTCGTGAAGCCGTGGCCAGCAGTGATGACGAGGATGGCACTACTACTGGCAGTGATGCTCATGGCGCAGCCCACAGCGCGAACGCCATCAAGGTTGAGGAACAAGCGTACCTGATGTGGATATTGCAAAGAAGAAAAAGAAATCGCTATTGCGTTCCAGAAGTTTTTAACACTGCATTGAATGAATATATGAAACATCCATGTTATCGTGTGTCAGACTTTTAGTACAACAAGTCGATGATTCAAAACGCAATCAAACGCCCCCAGTAGTATTATGATTATATAATAACCTACGATTATTATATTGGGAATGGTAACTGCTTGGACGACAGCCCCACAGCCAAGCGAAAACTAAGCGTTTGTGCCCATCGCACTTCATCCCAATTCCATGCCACGATCTCAAGTATGATATGAAAACGTCATGCACGTAAGTTCAATACTGTCTCCTGCAAGTTCATGTTGGCCCACGACAATGCCCGCTCTCTAACACCATCCCATTTTAAACGAGCTTCACTATACGGAGTACTCAGATGCCGATTCCATCCACCCTATCCTTGGACTTAAATGACATCAATGTTGGACAAAATACTCGTTCTACGACAATTGAGACAATTATGGCAATTCCCATTCCAATATGACAACATATGTATGCCTACCCCTTAACCACGACAATCACAATGTCAAGTACAGTAATACACCATACAGTGCGCGCCATGTGGATAGGACACCCTGGTTGCATAGAGGCAACGTGAGATAAAATGCACGTCAAGAGAAACAAAATATACCACACGAACGCATTTGATTGGTCCGGTTGTTTGGCGCTTGTTTCAGGTCAAAATAACCAACACTGGCCGAGTTATGCCGCGAAAATTGAATTTGAGGTTCGACAACTGGATAGGACACCTCAGTTTACAACTGCCATGGGAAGAGCCGGCCAACTCACCGAGTACGAGCAAGGCAGTGCCTTAGCGTTTTCGAAGGCTGGATGGTCGACCAAACGCATTGTCGCCACCCTTGGCCGCTCCAGAAACGTGGTAGCAAGCTTTATACGGTCACCCGAGACCTACGGGACCCAATATGTAAGTCAAAAGTCCACGAAAGTGTCAGAACGGGCACGCCGTCAAATCGTCAAGAACGCCTCGACGACAGGATGCTCAGCCAGGCAGCTCAAGGCATACCTGCCGTTGGAAGTGTTGCTCCGCACGTACCAACGCATCTTGAACCAAGCCGATTTCCTACAATACACCAAGCGTCAGCATGCACCGAAGCTTCAACAACGCCACAAAGACGCAAGACTCAAGTACGCCGAAGACAACCTCACCAATCCAACTGACTGGGACATCGTGGTGTGGTCAGACGAAACGAAGTTCAACCTCGACGGTCCAGATGGTTTCCAGTACTACTGGCACGACCTTCGCCACGAAAAAGACCAGTTTTTTACCCCGCACAGCGGCGGTGGCAGTTGCATGATTTGGGCCGCATTTTCAAATTACGGGAAGTCGGAAATCGCCTTGCAGGAGCTGATCAGGTCGATGCCAAAGCGCTGTGTGTTATCCAAGCCAAAGGAGGCAAAACAAAGTATTAACTGTAAATACACAATTTGGTGCTTTGAGGACAGATTTCGTTGTTAACTTTTGGGGTGTCCTATCCAAATGTCGCACCCCAAATTCCTGTTTCATGTCATAATTTGCTCAGTATTTATTAGATTGGACTGCATCTTGTGTCAAACGATCTAGCTTTAGCTGTCACTTGAATTTATCCGCCGTGTGGCAGCAACAGAGCACAAATGCCATCGCCTCATTGATAAAACAGGGGTGTAGTATCCACGTGGCGCGCACTGTACTGCACGCGGATTGGCAATGGCCTTAACATGGACAGTGAAGACCACGGAACATGTTCGCAGAAGCTCTACCATAATACAGACATGAATCCCGACAGCACACCCCGACAGCACACACCGCCCTACGCGATAGCATTCGATGGAAAACAGCAGCCCCCAGTAACCCCAACGACAAAGCATGGTACAAGCAACACACAAATGGCGTGTAACAACGAACAACGACCTAGCCGATATACCATTCCCTTGGGCAAGGTACATTAAGTATGCCACGATCCAAAACACTCATACGTAGTGACAATAGACTACACGTACATCTGACAGTCAAAACCCGCATACTAAGGCAGCTCCCCTCCTAGCCCGCCATTCGACCTTAACTGTTAATCCTTACGACATGAGTTCGAGCGATAATTTCAACAAGGTATGTCACCAATTCTCCACTTCGATTAACCCGATTACATAGGCTCAAACTACAGCGACACAAACTTCTCTACGACAAGCGAGCGATAGCTTAACATCATGCGTTCATGTGTCGATGAATCGCATGATGTTGAAATATGAGTATCTATGGCATCATGCGTCAACAAGGTGGCGAAGCATTAGCAGTCGAGTAAGCGTCATTAATGAGTTGCATTGTTCGATTCCCACCAAAACGTGCAAAATCAAGCATGACAATAACACTACCCATTTCATTTGAGTTGCAACATTTTCTATTCCCATCAAAACGTCCAATATCAAACATGACAATTCCTACCAATCCAACATTTCTAACCATTTTTTAACTCACGTTATTGGATGCAATGGAATCATTGCATCCAATCATCAAGAATAAGTTCGGTACAAATTTCTCTCTGTCGAATCGAATCACACGAATCGGCGCTATTGGCTAATCCAATTTTGAGTGGAACTGATTGGCTCTTACAGAAAGGACAAGTATATCCAACCAATCAGAACGCCAGCGTGATTCAGTATTAATTGGACAAACCACGCGAATTTTGGAAGTTTATACTACGTAGTAGCGAATTCACAATAATTTCCATTGCTTATTTTTGTCCACGTGCTAAAATCGACTGATGTATAAAAAGTCCTTGTGACATGGCGATCGCTCCTCGGTAGCCATACAGTAACCATCTTTCCATCAATCTAATTGGTTGTTCAAACAACAGGTCGCAACTCACATTGGTTGCTGAATCCCAACGTGTTCCAGGAGTACAGAGGAGTAGTCGACCAATACCTACTATATTGATGTAACGTTAATATGCATTTTTCTCGAACATATCTCACCAATCCACCAACCACATTGGTGCCAAATTGTTTGGGGAGATATTCCGTGCTCAATGTGCTCAATTGCATTGCTTGACACGATGCGTGTGTTCCATCCGGCATGGACTGTCGCAGCCATCGCGGCGCTCTTTAGCTTGGTGTCGGCAAGTCAAGGAAGAGTCGACGCCCATGAGGACACCCCTCGGCATCTCCCGTCCACTCGTCCCGTTGTCACGCCACTCTCGTTCGGTTCCTTTGCCGAAAACGTGGCACCGGTGGATGTAGGAGCGAGTTCATCGTATGGCAAGGCTCCTCCGTCATCTCGAAGTAAAAAGATGCGGCATGCACCGTACGACTATCGTCGGCGCTTGCTCGAGAAACTGCGGTCGGCCACGGGTGCTCCGTCATCTACCGCCACACCCTCCAACGACATGGACACGCAATCGTCCAGCGACATGGACAACGACGACACACGCAACAAGATGATTGAACAAGTCAGAATGAAACTGTGTACGTCCATTGGCCACGACAGGGCAGTATCATGATGTGTATGTCATGCAGTAACCGTGGACTCTGTGGTGGTGGTGCTGGCGTTCGTCGGGGCGGCGGTGATGTACTGGACAAAGTGGCGGCACTACGATCGCCTCGCCGGCCAAGAAGAGTAATACGTGGCGCACTACAACATACTAATGCATGTGCTCTAGTCCGCTCCAGTATCTGCATGGCCTGCGCCGGGAAGACATGGAGGACATGTAAGCCACCCACCCCTTGTCTCAGATGCATGGAAAATGGGTGGCTCACAAGAGCTGGCCTTGTAGAGCTCTCGAAGCCTTGAAATGGCAATGTGCCATTTGTTACTTTCACAGCCCCGACGATCGCCAGTGTTGTGGCCTCTGCGACACGAAACGAGGTAGGAATGTCATATTCGATATATATATATATATATATGCAAGGATTGAATATATTTTCATTGTGTTGTCTTTACTTTAGTATTCTATTAAGGGTGCTCTAATATATTTTCATCGATGTCCTCTTATGTAGGCACAGAACTGGCGTTGGTGGACATGAATACCAGGCAAAAAAGTGCTCGGTAACGAACTCTTCATTGGTTGTGTAGTGTCTATACACTACACTCTATGTGTTTTGAATACTGTTATATATATATATATATATGGCGCCAATACAAGCAAGAACCTTTCGACAACACTCTCTGAAAATAGCGCGAGAAAGCAGTGGCAACGTCGACTCGATGCCGTCGACGGTCGGACGTACTGGCACGAAGCGGCAAAGCCAGTGCACCAAGGGCCCCACTACGTCGTCCTCCCCGCCACTCCACCGCCCGAGTTCGACAGCAACTCGGATGCCCACCCCAGCAATGTGTTGCATTTGCAGCCGTTGGCCCTGCACTTGGCCGGCACGGCCGTGACAGGCGACATATTGCCGTCGTGGTGGCTGCCACACCTGCACGACTTGACGGACCAGAGTTTTTCCCTTAAATACGCATGGCTGCTCACCCAAATCTCGCATTCGTACAAGAACTACTCGAAAATGCAAGTCTACCGCGACAAGATCTTTGACGAATCACTGGAAATCGTCCTGCTGCTGCGACCCACCCATCTCTGCACCATGACCCGCATCGAGTTGCTGGGCGAGAGCGGCATCGACGCCGGCGGCGTCCTCCGCGAGTGGTACTCGCTGCTGACGGTGTCACTGTTTGCCGCGGACCGGGGACTGTTTGTACCGGCCAACAAGGCGGAGCAGTCTTACTTCATCAACCCGGCGGCGGCGTCGTCAGCCAACCCCAACCACCTGCGCCATTATCACGCTATCGGGCGTGTACTCGGCAGGGCCATCGTGGACGGCCAAGTACTGCCGTTCCACCTCTGCGCCCCCCTCTTCAAGGTGCTCCTGGGGACCCCCCTCGCCTTTGAAGACGTGTGGCACCTTGACCTGAACACGTACAACAGCCTCGTGTACATCCGCGACACCGACAACGTCGATGACCTAGCGCTCGACTTTAGCGTCACCGTGGACACGCCGTCCCACGATGTGGTGGATTTGATTCCGAATGGCCGCCACATCCCCGTAACACTCGACAACCGGCACGAGTATATCGAGAAAATGGTGTCATACTTGCTGTTTGATCGCATTCAGCCCCAAGTGTCGGCGTTGGTGCGCGGATTGTACGAGGTACACAAATACATTATATATATATATATCATTCATTCATATTCATATGTACGACCGAATATAGTTGTCGTACGTTTCCGTTGCGTGCTATGAAAGTGCCTCTGAACGATTGATATCATGTATTTGATTTGTGGACTTGATTCGAGTGTAGTACTGAGTTGGAATTATATATACAATGATACTGTTCACGTTATTTGATATTGCATATAGCAGATCAACTGTGCTAGTACATGAAACAGCGAACATTCGTAGCTAGTATTACTAGTTCAACGTGAACGTGGTGTGTTTGCATTGACGCGTGTCTTGACTAATACTATGGCTACAACTTTACTACCTATTACTACTAGGTCGTGCCATACGAACTGCTCATGCCGTTCGACCACAAAGAACTCGAGCTGTTAGTATGTGGGTACTCGCACATTGATGTGGCCGACTGGCAGGCGTCCACAAGTGTGTCGTCGGCGTTACGTTCGTCCAAGTGCATCAAGTGGTTCTGGGACATCCTCGAGCACGAACTGACTGCCGACGACCGCGCCAAGCTGCTGCGCTTCGCGACGGGATCGTCCCGCGTACCCCTGCAGGGCTTCAAGGGCCTCACGAGCTACGACGGCAAGCTGTGCCCGTTCTCACTCAAGGCCGTGCCCTACACCCGCGGCGTCTTCCCCAAGGCGCACTCGTGCTTCAATCGCATCGACTTGCCGATTTACCCGACGAGGGAGTTGCTCAAGGAAGCCCTCATGGCGCTGGTCAACTTGGAAATGACCGAGTTTACGTTGGAATAACAACAGGCTCTCACCCCGGAGAAAGTGGTTGGTTTGTATGTCAAGTAGTGGTACACTGTACAGTGACGAGCAAAAGGAACGAAGGGATAAATTGCGATAAATAATAACGAATGAAATCATCGGCAATGACTGACGAGGTGGTGGATATCTTTTAACTTGCGCTCCTACTGTTCCTATTATGAATTGGAACTCCGAGTACCGGTAGTCGGGTGCTGCTAGTACACCCGAGATATCACAAGATGACGATATCAAACAGCCGCTTTCAACTCGTTTCGGGGCTGCAGCGAATACACGAGCGGTCTGATGTCGAACTGTCGTGAATAGCATGAGGTAGTACTGCAGTAGTAATTGTGTACGAAATATATTATCGCTTGGTCGGTCGTGCCACCGACGATGGCTTCCGTCCTATCAGCGCCTCGACTTGGTTGAGTCTACTGGTTTTGGACGCATGTAGCCCCACGGTGCTGCCTTGAAGGACCGTCTCGCCCATTCTATTGTTGTGGCTGCCACGCAATTCATTGGACCCAGTACGTGGCAGCGTCTGCTGCTGGTTATTGCTGGGCGTGCCAAGGAGTCGTCGTCGTCGTGGTGGCGATTGTTTCGGCTGCCCAATGCGCTCGCCGCCAGCCTTGGACACTGCGGTGGGTTTTTGTAAATCCGCCTTGCGTCTGAGCTTGCCACGTAAGATTGGCGCGTCCTTGGCACTGTTCAAACTACTCGTACACCCACGACCAAGTTATATAATACGAGGACCAAGAACTAAAGTGTAGAGTAGGTAGGTGTAGGTATATTACTTGGCAATGGGACACTGGGACTCAGTGTGCCGGTCCAGCGCAAACATGTTTGGAAACGTGGCGTCGGTGCAGTATGGGCACCGATACATTGTCGCAGTGTTGTCGTCGTCCACTGGACTTGTTATGTCCTTCGAAGTGGGTGATTCACAAGGATTCGTACAAGGCATTTCGGTGGGGGGGGATTTTGCATGACTGGCGACAGATGGCAGGTCCGCGCACTGGTCGCAGTGTTGTGCGTACGACACCACGTTCACGTACTTGTTGCACACCTAAACATCCCACAAAACAGTTGAAAACCCGAGTGACTACGATTTAAAGGGAATGGACATTGACAAAGACCTCGCATTGCTGGGTTCGGTTGGAGCAGACAGAGTAGTGCGCGTCGAATTTGTGGCGTTGAAACGATAGGGAACACAGCGCACACTACATTGTAGTACTCCCATGGTCAATTGCCTTGGGTAGGACGCATTAGACTTGATACCGGCATGAACGTGAGGGGACATGCCGTGCATTTGTGCGCGGACAACGCGTCCGCCGCCATCGACGCGCCACAAGTACATCGCACGGACACATGAAACTCGTTTGTGTGCATCACCACGGTGTCAGCTGCCCCGACAAAGTCGCACTGGATTCTCATTGTAAAAGTGGCATCTTCTGACACTGGAACTCATGGAGTTTGCTCTACCTTGTGGCAATGTACATGCTCTTGTGCGTCAGTTTGCAGCACTTTTGCGTTGCAAGTGGTACACGCAAACTAGACACACAAAAAAGGTGGGGTTGTTGGAAAAGCCATGTATACATATTTGTATCGACAGTGCCGTACGCGATGGTATGCAGTGTGCTGCTTACAGCGCAACATGTGCAAGTCAACGTGGGCCGGGGGGACGTCTGCGAGACAAAACGGACATGACGAACTAGGCGGCGACGTCGTGGGGGCTCCGGGTGCGGTCGGAAGGGGGACTGTGGGGGGAACAAGAGCGGTGGAACGATGGTCCGCTTGGTTGTCTTGTGCGTAGGGGGCGATTGATGACAAGGACGGAGATGAAGGTGGTGGGGCGATAGATTGGCCTGGAGTTGCAAACGCTTTGATGGCTTTGAATTTGGCCGGATCGAGGCCTTCGGTTTGCTTCTTGGCTTTGATTTGGGCCGCTTTTAACGATAGGTTTCTGGGCACTGACGTCGTTGGGATCGAGGCATCGAAGGAGGGGTTCGAGCTGGAGTGGGGGGCCGTGGAGGATACAAACCCCCCGTCCGCCAGCCGACGTCCATATGACGTGGCAGCGCTGCAACGATTCATCACGCGATTAAAGTGTCTATAGGGTCCAATGGGTGTTGTATACCTAGTGTTGTTGTCCACTGTTGGGGCTGGCGCTGTGTTGAAGGAGTGTGAGGGGCAGAGCTCGTGGCTGCCGGTTGGACGGGCAGAGTTGGGGCGTCGGGGGTCCACATTCTACGCATTTATCGCTACACTATTAACCAAATATCCATTTACTTACGTCAGGGGCTTTGAAATCCACTTCCAAATCCACGTCGCCAAATAAATGCACCACGGGCGTGGGCTTGACTTGGAGCACTTTGAGAAAATACCTACATACGAGTATTTCCCAATGTATGAACAATACAACTGGAATAATCACACTTACTTTTGATCGCCATATTCAATCACAATGCACCCATCCACACTCAAACATGAATACCGGCGCATGGCCGACTCGAGTAAAACCTAAGCAAACACCAGTCATATATCCTATTTCTGAGTTAAAAGCACACTGTACCTTTGGGCCAACGGTCGCTGCGATGTCTAAAAAGTCCATTTGATCTGGCTGCAGCTGGCAAAACAAACCCTTGGGAATCTATGGCTACGTCAAGCACAATGGGAATGTGTCGACCGGTCGTACGGAAAGTGCACTTTCCAAGTGCACTGTGCCCCCTTCGTCGACCCCCAGCTGCTGCATCATCCAATACGGCGCATACATCTACGTCCATTCACCAAAAGGAGATTTCGCTTTAGAATGTTCATATGAATGAATGGTGGTACACAAGTACCTGGCCTGCGGGGGCGCTGAATTCTAGCACTCCACAGTAATGATAACTCTCGGACGAGGTCTTTGAAGCTGGAACTGACAGCTACTTTGTCATGAGAGCTACAATCCCCTTGCGAAAACACTCGTACTTTGAACAAGAGAGGCAGTGGAATCTTGAGGCATTGGATTTCCAGTAGCACTTTCTAGTCGCAACGTGAGTTTTTGCGTGGGGGGCGTAAGACATATTCTAGATATACAATACTGGCGGAAGGATTACTTTGTCCCCAAATTCCAAGTCGGGTTTGTCTAAGTAACGTTGGAGGGGGGTAAGTGATGACGACGACGCCGATAGCAGGGCATACCGATAAATGCCACAGAGTAACAAGTGAGCGTGCCGGTGAACGGAACAGAAGGACGAGCCATCGACGGCCGGGACGCCACTGGCCGACGAGTGCGTTTGGACAGACTCATCGTGTCCTGCGAATTCCAGCAACTTGGCACTCAATCCTTGTGATTCCAAAAATAGGTTCTCACACCCCCGAATCCTCGGTCTCGCTGTAAACCCATCGCGATTTTAAGTGAAATGCATTAATGCATTGCCTCGAGATGCGCGAATGTGAACCTGAGGTAAAATCATCATCCTGGCCTTGTTCCCATGGGTTTGCACGCTTGATTCACACAACCAACCACCACATTCAATCCATCAACCGCCCATCCGTTGTAGCTGTGGTAGCATGAAGTGAGGGCCACTGATTGCTGGAAATGCCTTCGCATGTCCACTATTGGCGACATGAATGACATCAGTCGGTGAAACTGCCGCGACGTTTCGGACTGTGAACAGTTTCACGTATGGGCATGCCGCACGACGTCGAGTGGCGAAGTGCCGAAGACGCACTCGCGTACGATGTGTTGCTTCTCAAGTCAGTGTTTACCCGGCTTCGACGGCAGAGCGCCGACGAGGGCATTTTGGAGCTCGACTTGTTTTCCAAGCAACAAGTGATCGATGAGCTTGAGGTGCACGAGGATCAAAAGCTCCTGCGCCACCGTCCCAACCTCCGCAAACTGCATACACGGCTATCCAGCTTGAACAACATCCAGGAGAGCATTTCGTTCGATGCGTTCCGCGTCACCCGGGTGCGCGACAAGACCCTATCGTTTGACATGACCAGCGCTCTGCTAAAAGACTTGTGTCGGTCGCAGTTGGAGGCCGAAAGCGAACGGCGCCGGCTGGTCAGGTACAAGCCCATGTGGTGCACGCGGGACGCCAAGCTAGCCGACAACCACCCCGCGGCCACGTACAACGTACGACCCTCCCCGTCCAACTTCGGCTTGACGTCGTCGTGTCTAGGTGTGCTACAGACCGCCACATACACTCACGAGTCGCGAGAAGCTGGCGGTCGAGCGTCGGGCCAAGTGGACTCGAGACAAGGCAGCGGTCATGGCGCAGCTGTTTGTACAGGGCTTGATGCAAACTTTGTTTCTGCCCAAAGCCCCTCGAGGGCTCCCGAGTTGCCCGACTACGGCGACAGATCCAATTGACGACCACGACGTCGGGGGATTGAAGACCCCGTCAGTGAAAACAAAACGGCACAAGGGCAAACCACTTGCAAGGCGGTCGTCGTTCATGTCATCGAAACAGGAACAACAAGATGTGGCCAGCCTCAAACTGCGGATTCTATGCCCCGGGTACGATCCAAATGCACCCCCCTGGCGAAGTGCCACGTGTGGCGGGGCATTCAATGACGCGACGGACGCCGAAGCCTTCGTCGCCGCCGTGGAGAGCGCGGGGGTACCGTCCATCGCCAGAAAACTCTGGGCACACGCGACCTTTCGGTCTGCGGCGACTGCGTGTGCACGGAGAGTTGAATCGTGTGCATCATCCCATTCAAACAATCCTGCAACGTTTCCCCACGACCGCCCACTTTCCACCGCCACCACCCCAGCGTCTTCGTCGTCGTCGTCACGTTTGACAGCCTCAACAGATATGCTCCTTCTCGACACGTACGCGGCGTGGCAGGGCCAGTATCGGACCAAGACCATTCCACATTTGAGATGATGTTAGCATTCATAATACTACTCTCCCTTGCTAACTAGTATGTACTAGTATTTGCACACACACGAAGGCAATCCCATTTTATTTAACGGCCGACGGTGTCTAGAATCTCTTGCTGAATCTTGCGGTGGATGGCGAGCTTGGTTTTTGTGGTATGCTTGACTGGATGCACGCGGAGGTTGGCGCTGGCGGCATCGGCCTCGAGGCGGTCGTACAGCTCGCGGCGGATCGCACATTTCATCTTGGTCCGCACGTCAGTCGCTATGGCGTCCAGTTCGCTTTGTTTTGTGAACGCCAGCCGCTTGGCATCGCGCATGCAGTCGCGTTGCGTCGCCTAGTTGAAATAATATATTTTCCTCAAAAATACACCAATATAAGTCGAATGAATGGTATTACCACATCCAAGGAGGACGCCGTCTGGTTCAATCGCTGGACCATACGATGCCCTGCGTCCGGAGTGACCGCATCTATCCACATAACAATGAGCATATTGTGTACAGGGCAACAAGGAATACCGCCGATTTGCAAGCACCGGAGCGACGGACACGCCCCCGACCGCACCGTCTAGAAGGAGTAGCTGAGCAAGTGGCAGGCAGAACGAGCCACCCACCTCGTTGAAATGGTACAACGTTTGAAACTCCAGCTTATAATTGCGCGCGACGTTGAGTGTGTGCAGACGAATGCACTGGCTGCGACGTAACGTTTCGGACAAACGATGGATCGAATACGTGTCGAGTAAATTGTCTACAAACATGATATCAAATCACAAAATGTCGACGTGTTGTACGGCTCAGGTCCAAGTGACGGACGCGGGCGGCGGCGGGAGTGCTGAAAAAGTAGCAAAAGCGCGTCAGTCCTTCTCCTTTGGCTTGGTTATCTAGGTCACAAGTAGTGTAAACGTGCAACCGACGAATGAAATAACCAAAAACAGTATGATCAAGCAAATTCTACTGTATTACCTGACAAATCCAACGACGTCAATTGGGGGCAGCAATCGTGTTGAAATGTTTGAGCTAATAAGTCAAACTCGCTCGTTCCAAGGTGCGTTTCTAATGAAAACACGATTGTGTAGATATAATTACACTGTAGCCCGCCACAGATGGATGTGACGATGGCATAATTGTACTGGCCAAGACAAGCTGGTCGATGGATGCAAGCGCGTGAGCTTTCAAAGCAGCTAAAAGGAACTCTACGCCTTTGCCAATGACGTTTCCTGTGGTGATTGCAATATCAGGAGTACTCAATATTTATATACATGTACGTGCAAACGCACCAGTGAGGTTCAAATACGATAGGGACTGGCCCGGCATGTCGTGGTGGATTTTCTTGCTTGTGTGGTAAAAGAGGCGACCTGTGAACCCCGCACTGAGCATTTGGATGCACTCGGAGGTCAGGGCCGTTGCTACGATCAGTCACTCGAACGTTAATCAAAGGGTTGGTTATATATACGATACGTGAGACCCACAGGCGAGGTTCAAGTGACTCAAACTCGGCACCGTTTCATGTACAAACGCTCGACTGAGCCCCACAATGGCGTCCTTCGTTATGACATTGCCTATTCCGATATGTCATCCAATGAGCTAATTGGTGAATTGAAATGGAAACAACAAGTTGTTGTAAGAGGATTGTCGTCGTACCAGACACGTTGAGATGCGATAAATGAGGACACGTGCATTGCCACAAGGCGTCCATAAACACGAGCATGCCCTCGATGTTGTAACTGCACCCTATAGCCGTAAAAAGGTACGAATTCATAGCAAATACATGCAGTTATGTACTTGATAGCAATGTAGAGGTTGGCTATACAAGTCGTACCACTGCAGTCAAACGATCGCAACGTGTGAAAGACACTGACGGCGGGGTCGAGCAGCATGTGCGCCGCTAGGTCTTTCCAGGCGCCAATGGCCAACTCGTTGCGTGAGATGTTCAAGTGCATCAAGTGCGGCATATGCGCTAACACGTGCAGGAGCGCTGGGAAACTTTCGCTCGTCAGCGCAGTGTCTGGAACATATGTCCAACGATTGCCATGAGATTACATATATCTATCTATGTACACAGTATTGGCAGAAATGATATGTCAATAATCTGATTCTCACTTTGAACATCGAACGACGTCAAGTGGGCAAAGTGATCTCGAACAAAGCTGGGCGTCATGCGGACCCACGTCACGTGAGGGAGGGGGCTGTCTACGCAACGGAATACATCGAGGACTCAGTCACACGATTCAACGGGCAGGAACACGAGAGGTACCCGCCAAGTCCAAGTGTTTGAGGTTCGTTAAAGGGTGAAAGTACAGATGGTCGACTAAGATTGCATAGGCAGGGTCCGTCCAGGGGATTCCTACAACGCCCTTGTCAGCCACTCCTGTGGTTCATCTTGAAGCACGGCTACCTCGCAGCACGATCGAGTCGAGTTGGCCTTTGCCCATGTGCTCGAGCATGGTGACTAAACTTGTGGCCAAGTCGATGGCGGACGTCTGGCCTCCTTCCATAGTCACGTGCGAGAACGAAATGGACGTCACGTTGGGAAAGCAGTCGTGGAGAAGCAGCCACGTCACCAGCACGAGCTGCGTGGCCGTAACGTACGCTGCCACAAGATCAACGACAAACGTCAGCCATTCATTTTTCGATTCCTCCCATGTTGAACCTACCGCAACTGAGGTGTCGAATGCGACCATACCGAGCCCGCACCGTCCAAAACGCTTTGCTTTCGACGTCGTAGCCTCGCAAAAATGCTGCAAGTTGGTGGCGCCCGCACAAGTGCAAACCACACGCTTTGGCGTAGATGCCCGCCAGTCGACGGCAAACTTGGGACATGTGGACTTGCTCTTTCATGGGAAGGTACGCCAACACGAGCGACGGAATGTCATAGTCGGTGGCCACTCGGTTTCGCGACAACGTGTGGTCGCGCAGTAGTGTTTGAAACACGAGAAATCTACAAAGGTAGTATCGCTATATCGTGAGTATGAACATGACGGCAACGATCATGGCATAATATTGTGTGTATATGTACCGCGTGGAGAGGACGTGTTGGACTGTGAGAAGAGGGGATCGAAAGTACGCAATCATGTGCTCGTTGGCTGCTTCGTTGACTTGCGCGAGGCAGCCAAGGGCGTTCAACGGCAAAAACGGACACACTTGCCACAGCTCGGCGCGATGCTTCGGACCAAACAGCCAAACGATTTGCTTGAGCGGGGGCGGGGGTGCCCTGGTCCCTGGCTTTGCCTCACTCTTTTTGCTGAAGTTCTTTAGCGGGTTCAAGTTCTTCAGGCCAGTCATAAATTTGGGAGCGACCAACGACCCAAACCCAAACCCACCCTTCTTCTTTTGCTCCGTTGGCTTGACCGAATCGTCGTCGACGCCGTCTCCTTCTTGTTTCTGTCCGTCATGTTCGTTCATATCCCCGTTGGTATTAGGCACGGCTGAGCCATCTTGCTTGCGCTGGAGCAGCCCTCGGATGCTCGACATGTGTACCAGGTAGTGTGGATTTTCTGTAACTGTCGCAACAGTTGAATATTAAATAGTGTGTGAAACCTGATATAGTGTGCACTTTGGACCTATTATCCGGATGAGCACCGATTGGTGCACCAAACATGACGTTTTGATTTTGTGCCACTCACCAAGGCAATAATGGAACGACGAGTGCTCGCCCGCGCGGCCATGGCGGCATGTTGCTTGTTCACAGGACATTCGTCGGCACTCATGGAGAAGCTTCCGACGCTCGATAATGAGCTCAAGCGAATCCGCAGCTTCGAGGCCAAAATGCGTGAGCGGTGGATCAAGGATGAAGACAACTGGCGCACGCTGCCTTCGCGGGTATGGCCAAGTTACCACCCTCCTGTGGCCCAACAAGCATCTCTAGAGGCCAAAGTGAAGTCGCTTTGCAAGCAGTCACAGCCTACGAATGATACCTGTTTCCAGAACCGGTTTGACTTGGCCACGTTGCTCGTGTTCAATTCCATCGACCCGGAAGCTGGCTTTCGCATGTATACTTCGCTAGCCGACGACGGGTTCGTGGATGGCATTGTCGCAGCTGGCGTGTGCCTCGTTGAAGGCTTTGGGGTAGACCAAGACTACGCTCGTGGAGTGGCCTACCTGCAGCGGGCCAGCCAACTTGGACACCCCCAAGCAGATTACGAATTGGCTGTGCTGCATTACACTGGCGCCGCCGCTCCATCGCTGCCTGCCAGTGACGAATTGGCCTTTGCGCTGTTCGAGCGGGCCATGAACCAAGGCAGGTTTTCGTATGCCACGTACATGGTGGCGGACATGCTCCTAGACCAAGCAAACCCCGACGAGTACGGCCGAGCGTTGAGCTTGATGTACGACGCAGCCGACAACGGACATCGATATGCCCGTCAAGAAGTGCTGAGTTTCCTCAGTGGACGGCACAAAGCGCTTCGACGGGCAAGTTAGGCGGTACTATGCACATCCTGAACGAAATGAACAGTAACACGTGGGTTGGTGATGATGCCAACATTCAAATTAGTACTACTACTACGTGCCAATAGTAGTATATACAGCATCACTGGAAGTGAGCGACAATTAATAATGGAGAGACGCCACTTTGTGTTCACGTCGCTGTTCAAGTCGTTGAATGGTTCATGGTGACGATTCGAAATGGGAGTGGGGTGCTCAATCGAATGAGCAGCACCAAATCGACAGACAATCGATCGACCAATCAAAACCCAGATCACGAATCAAGTAAGGTAATGCATCAATTATTGACACTGTTTTTGACCAAGTTTTGGCCATGACTTCAAATCCCAGTATTGTTGTGTTTATTCTAAACTGGAGCGACGCGGAGAATGAATCGACAACCTATGTACAGTAGAATCGGCATAAGTATTTACAGTTAGCCAATCAAGTTGCAGGAAATCAGCATCAACGTCGAATTAGTGTGATCGTTGAGAATGATTGGACTACATTTCAGATTTGTGTCGAAATTAAATGTTTTGAGCTTTGTGGTCACGACTTTTGAGGTGAATCCATGGCACTCCTTAAAAACCTTCATGTTTGTATTCCATTAAATTAATACTTCAATGATCAATTTGTTTTACATATGAAGTATGTAAAACAAATTGAGCAAAATATAATTGCATGCATTTCGCAATACGTAATAAACTTTTACATGAATTTAATTAGTCAGCGTAAATAAATGCAATCACATTTTAATTCATCACATCAGTAGCGGCAATAGTGGATGCCATCCAGTCGTTGCGAGGAGCAATACGCTGCTGCTTCTTTGTCTATGGTAGCGATGGCTCTAAAGTAAGTACTTCCATGTATCATGTAGCTATGCACAACTGCCGTGACGCTCTCGTAGGCATGTATGGCCGGACTGCGTCAAGGGTATCTAGTTGACATTCTATTTAAATACTTTAGAGACGAACATTATCATATCCAATCATACAAGGCCTACACGAAATATCGAGATTCTATTGGCTAAAAGTAAGACAGTCTCACAATTTGGTGGCGTGTCAACAATTGATTACTGTTAGCCAATCTATCCATTCTTTAGAGTCTGAATTAAATTAGTGTGAGACTGGACGACCTTTACATACAAAAGTCAGGAGAACGAATCGATGGATAGATTTGGCGAATCAGCGCAAAAGTCCAAATTTGGAGTAAAAGGACAACCCTATACAATCGGACGACATCGGGTATTTTGTGAGTCAAATACCCGGTGGGTGGAGCACTAATAATTAATATTAATATAAAATACTGAATCTTACCAGGAGTATCAAAAGTGCTGAATTATTTGATGGGTGGTCAAAGTTACTCGAATTCCTTTGAATCAATACAAACTTGAAAACGACACTTGGGAGTATTAATAGTACGTCGAAATTCCTTCAAAATATATCACTATATCTATATCTAAGGCAATTGCTGTCGTGATTGCCATGACAGAGAAAGCCTTCGTCAGTTCCCATTTCAACCATTGACTGGCGGCATTAATCAATCGTAGCGAGTATGGCGTCAGAACAAACTCCTTTGACCAAGCAAGGGTCGTCCGGGTGTGTCAACACATGCGACCTGAAGGAAGAGCGCCGGTGCAACGATATCTTCTTCGTGATTCTGTACCTCTTGGCGTTTGGCGTGGTGCTAGCCTTGTTCTCCATGTACGGCGGCGAAGTGCTCACGTATGCCGGGGACCACTTGGTGCAGAAGCAGCACAAGTTCAAGTACGCACTTAACATTTGCGCGTCGATTGCCGGCGGCTCCGTCCTCCTCTCCATGCTGTGGGTTGGCATCATGTTGTGCCTTGGCGCGTGGTTGATCTGGATCTGCGCGGGGGTAGCCATCGCCGGCTCGGTCGTCGCGGGGTTCCTCGCGTCCAAGTTCATGAAGGACAACGGCGACGACACATGGTTCTGGCTCCCCGCGACCCTCGGATCGCTCGTTGCGATCTTGCTCACCGTGTACATCTGCTGCATCCGCAAACGCATTGCATTTGCCAGCGCTAACTTGCAAATTGCATGCCGCGCCATCCTGACGTACCCCGTGATCCTCCTCGTGGCGTTCTTCAACACGCTTCTCATCGGCGCGTGGGTGCTTGTGTGGTCGGTGGCTACGTACGCCGCCATGAACCACGGCGAGTACATCAACAGCGACGGCCAAGGGTACAACAACGTGCAAAAGTTCAGCATCTTCGCGGCCTTGCTTCTCGTGTTCTTCTGGACGCTGTTTGTCGTGCGCAACATTGTGCATGTGACAGTGTCCGGCACCGTGGCCACGTGGTGGTACCGCGCCGACAACAACCGCGTGCCCCTGACCACATTGCGCGCGCTGTACAACGCGGTGGTGCTGTCGTTCGGATCCATCTGCTTTGGCTCGCTCATCGTGTCGGTGATTGAAACGATCAAGACAATCCTCGAGATCTTCCGCAACTTGGCCAAGCAGAGCCACAACGCCGTCGCCGTGTGCCTTCTTGGCTGCCTCGAGTGCATTGTCGGGTGTATCTCGAACCTCGTCCAGTACTTTAACAAGTACGCGTACTCGTACGTGGGCATCTACGGCTTTAGTTTTCTCCGCGCAGGCAAGGAAACGTTTGAGCTGTTTGAAAAGATGGGCTGGTCCGCCATCGCGAACGATGCCCTTATTGACAACGTGCTCATTGCCGGGTCGATCTTTGTCGGGATCGGTGGCGCCGCTGCGGGCTACGGTGCCGTGAGCTACGACAGGCACTACAACAACAACGTGTGGACCCAGAACCTCGAGAACCCCACCGCGACCCTCGGCACGGCCGGCCTCCTCATCGGGTTCTCCATCTGCTACATCGTTATGGCGGTGATCAACTCGAGCGTAGCTACGACGTTCGTCTTGTTTGCCGAGGACCCGCACTCGCTGCACCACTCACACCCGCACGACTACGAAGACTTGCACCAAGCGTGGAACGAGATTTACCCCGAAGAATACGCCAAGAATCCCCACGGCACTAAGGCCGACAACCAAGCGATTCAACACACGTAAACATACGTCAAGGATGTGCTGCATGTGCTGTGCTCGATTGTAGTTTTGCCAAGAGACGGTTGTTAATACTAGTGGTAGTACACGGGCTTGGAATCGACAACCTGTGCATGGTGAAGTGTGCGCTTATTGAGGTTCAAGTACATGTATGTACCGGTAGTTCACTGAAAGTCGTGACGAATAGGTACATCCACCAGTTCGATATTTGCAGCTTTAATAAGGTAGAGTTGTTTAATCTCTGGCGTTGGTTAATAGGCAATGGATATCCCACAGTGCGAGGTTCCTCCACAAATCCTCCCTTTTCACCTATCACATACCGGTATCACTGTACAGTGTTTACAGTAGTTCATTTTCTTGAGATTTTTTTATGTTCTACTTTGACTAACGTCAGTATGAGCCAAATTCACTGGACGATTGATCAACAGCCAAGAGCCACGCAAACACCTATGCAATAAGTTTGAAATTCGCAATCAGTCACGTTCGAGTTTACCCAAACCGACGATATTCACAGGATGCAACACTGCATACGTCATTGTCATTTATGTTACTCCACCATTCTACTATTCGTATATCGAAGTACCTATTAATAGTAGTAGCTCCAGTGGACAGTATGTACTGTAGCCAGCCATTGACACCTGCAGATATTCTCGAAATTGGCTCGCGCATTATATATATATTACAGTATACGTATATGTTGCGATGCACAGCAGTACAAAAATGTTACGATGTATTTCTACACGAGGATCGCAGTTACTACTATACATATGTATACTATTAGGTTGGTATTGTAGCTCAAACTTGAACGACACCGCGCGAGTAAGTTTAGGCAATGCAATATGTATGTAGCAGTGGTGAGGCCACGGACTCCTGGAAGAAGCTCATGGCTTCACCGCTCGCTCGCAACCACGAGTACCGGTACATTATAGACTTGCTCCACATATCCCACAGCATTTATGTCGTGGATTCAACCTCGTAACACGCGATGCATTCCGTTTTGAGTGTCGTGTGTGATTGGTAAGAGTCACTGGTCTTGTCCAGGCCCATAACTGACGTTAGTAAGTATTATTTACCAAAGATTGGGTACCCTACAATAGCCTCTCTAGCCCTGGATTATCAGTTGGGGTCATTGGTAATGTGTACGTTTAAGCAGCGACATCGTGGCTACAACTGGAAACCTACCAATCGGTCCACGATGCTTAGATCTTCATTGCGTTTCGATCTTAGATCTTCACTGTGCTTGATTAAATGTGTGTACAATTTGTACAACCTGAGGTTACACGACTAAGGCTGACCTTGGTAGCTTGAGTAAGATTAACTTTACCGATGTACTATCAACAACTGTCGAACCAAATCCCCCGTCAGCGAGGGAATACCGCTAACGTTATCATTTCTGTGACGCATCACGACGTTCCCCCTCCTAGAGGTCATCCCACCTCCGCAATGCGCAAAGTGTACAACACAATATCAAAACGGCAATCAATAGGTCACTTTGGTCGTCATAGTTCGAACACGTCAGTGTGATCGGCGAACGTGTTGTTGTGAGGGTTGCTACTTTCTTTGAGGTGCTTGGAGCAAAGCCCCCGGGTCCGCGAAAAGTTGCTGCAGAATGTCACTTTGCACCGAGAGCCGCCGCCGTGAATTCGACACAGTCCTCCTGTTTGGGACGGGGTCCAACAATCAGCAATCCGACACTTGCGACCCCCGCCGTGGCGAGTGCAGAAGCCGCGGTTTCGAGCGTAGGAGGTGCACTGGGGGAATCGGCATTGTAGCCCAATACTGCGGCACGTATGGCCCATGTGTTGTTGCCGACTAGCCGTCGAAAGTGGCGAAAATCCAGTCTCGAGGTGATGGTGGTTGATCGGCAACAATGGAGCATGGGTGGCGTCAAAGGGAGTGGCTTGGAGGAGCCGAGAGTGATGGAGACACACACTGAACTCTTTGGCGTAGCGGGAGCACTCAGCCACATGGCAGTAGCGGCCTCGACCGGCGTCATGAACAGGTGTGGGGTTCATCGATGGGTTTTCTTACGATCAAGTGGTAATCAAGCAAGGACCTCCCCCCAAATACATACATATCCGCAATCTTTTATTCTACAATCATCCGGGTGATTTGTAGAATCCGCCGATCAGAAACGAAGGTGTTAAGTCGTTCGAAGTTTAGGATCTGCACTGTGGCAATTCTGGTAATGCTATGAACGTATTCATGGGGGTGCAATAAGTACATATATACTCCGGAGTAGGTCGCCAAAATCGCATGTGTCATAACGTCAACTAGATAGAAGGGTGGGTATGCATGAGGTGGCTGCATATATGTACTCCTAAACGAATCTACACAACCTATAAAGCTATGTTGGGTGGCACCACCATATGCTGCTTTCCCTGTTGTCAGTTTCAATGTCATATGTAACGAAGAATGAATCCAATTCAGCGGACAGCATACGCACGCGAGTACAATGTACGCGCAAATGGGCACAACCAGTCACCCTGCCCCGTAGACAACACATATAACCTGTGTCGTGACAGTACACTTTTGGCCCCTTCTATGGCGGGGGACAAAATCCCCTTCCTGGCGGTTGGCGTTATTTTGGCATTGCACGTTGCCGTGCGCTCTTTGCGATAAGGGCGACGGGGACTTTGCATTCCGCGCTGCGGTTGTTGCTCGTTAGGACCTTCATATTACTTCGAAGCCACGATAGGGGCAGATTTATAAGCCCCACGTGCATGAGCTTGGAGCGAGACCACAGACTGGACAGGATATCACCTTATTATAGTGGTTGTTACTTGCCAACGCCAGAAACGTTCTGAAATTTGTGAGCATAGATGTGTTTATTATCCCAAGTTGTCCAACGTGCATTATTCTTGAAGTCTGCAACGACAATCACATTGCGTGAAACCATGTACTGTATGAGAGATGAAGGTGCGCTGGAGGGGAAATTGGACGAGCATCAATTCAGCTGCTCCTCAACTGCCCACTGAGGATGGGGGCGTTGCTAGATACAGTAATTGGAACTCTTAGTATTATCTCGTGGTGGATCGTGCGAGACACCAGAGCCAGTCGTACCAATCCCCCCTGTGGGGGACTCGTGACAATGTAAAAGTCACCCCTTCACAATGCGGCGATATAGAACCGCAGAGAAATGCCAGCGAAATGAGTTTCTAGTCAAGGTTCATGTTTAACGAGACTTCGAGCAACGTCATTCCATACAAGTTCAGTGTATACTGTACAGTGTCACTAAACATCTCAAAAAGGGCTTGGGCTGTAGGAGTTCAGGTTACTGTCGTGTCTCCCAAGACTGAAAGTTCTATCGCTTCAAACACTTTGTGATCGCATCAACATTTGCTTCCAATGCTTGTCGAATACCATTGGATACATTAAGTTGAAAGCTGCAAACCCCCAAGGTAGAACGAACCCTCATCTGAACTTTTTGATATATTCAGTGGGATTTACACTCGTGGTGAATGGTATTGAGCGAGCGACTCCCCAGCAACAGCCTTCGCCCGAATTGCAGAAACTAAGTATGTTGACTGAACACCTCACTTGTGCTGGGCGCCCCCTCGCCTCCGCTCGACCTGAAGGTACCCTGCGCTATGATTCATAGCGACTTGATTCTTCCGAAACTTTTGTACGTCCTAGGAAGATGCATGAGATGTCTTACATGGCCGAGGGGGTCACTTGACAGTTGTCACCGACCAAATCTCAAAACTTGAAGCATTTAACACCCCCTGAGCTCGTTATCATTCGCGTGCTGAATGGTGCCCTCGCAATGTGACAGGTAGGTGATGTAGTACACCTCGCTATGACACCTGATCGATGCTATTCGAGCTGCTTGTCGAGAGATTGATTCAAAGCCGCCTCTAATGCAAGGCAATTGAGCCCTGGACAACTCATGCGTTTCGGAGGGTGCAAGTGACGAAGTGCTTAATGTTGAAGTTCACTCTCTGTTGCATTAACCCCATTTCCATCCGTACATACAATATCATTTGTGCTACATCGAAAATCACCAATACATCATATAACTAAGGCTTCACTTAGGTGGCCTCACTCCTTTCACCCCCCCCACTATTATCGTTTGCATTTGCGCCTCCAGGAGCATCGTCAGTTGCAAATGCGCTAGAAAATGAATGGTCTACGTGGAGGGTAGATACCACCCCTGGTCTACGGCACTCAAGCTGGGTGTTTGTATGGAGGGGTGTGCGCATGATAATGGCTACCGTTTTACGGTGAAAAAGTGAACGATGATCAAACTTTTCCATGGTTGCAGTGAGGTCTAGGAATGGACCAAGTGCAACGCGCACCACCCTCGGACACGTGCAAATTGGTCACAGCCGTCCGTTTTGCATCGAGAACCCCAAGAACCCCCACCATGGGCACGACATGTGTCCCCAGTCTGAGACGGAGTGGTGCAGTGGACGACAGCGCATTTTCGCCCCCCGCCATGGTGGGAGCACAGCCCCCCGATCCGGGCGTACGACAGGCAATGCAAGTATCGACATCGCGAGTGTCGGCTGCGATATCACCTTTACATGTCGTGCTACGCGTGCCTTTAGAGTTGTCACTTTGTTGATTTGACTTCGCCAGAACTTGTACGAATCGTTCACACCATGGCGGGTCCAAAATGTCGCGCAGGCTGGAAAGCCTGTCACCACATGGATTGTGGAGGGGAGAACAGTGGGAGTCCTCGTCGTTCGCCCCACAAGGGCGATGCGGGTGCATACGAGGGCAAAGTGTGTGTACTCGCAACAAAACCTGGGCCGGCCTCTTGAAACAAGTGGTTGCCATGTGGGCTTGTATACATGTCGTTTGGAGGGCTCGCCGCTCGGGTGGTGCATTCTTGTTGGCAAGAAATTAATTGTGAACTTAGTCCACGTCATATTGACCACTACCGGCGGGATGGGTTGCAAGATCCTACACACACTGCATAGGCGTGAGAACGTACTAGTAGGTGTTGCGCACAATCAATTGTACAGCTTCCAGTTGGCGAATGAGTTCTCGCGACTTTCGAGTTGGCAACTATTGCGAGACGATTGATTTCCTTTGAAAACTGCCGTGTGCTCAGGCGAACATCCAAGTGGCATGTTGCAAAAGCAGAAGTAGATTGTTTCAGGCTAACTTAGAGAAAGGATTGTACAGTTCAAAGTTCGGGGTAGGCATGGCGAGGTTAAGTACGATACCGGTAGGCCAAGGCTGCTTTAGCATAATATTGTGTGTTCTGTACTACAGTACTCAAAATTTCCTCCCTCGGTTGGTTGAATGAACCGCCGAACAATTGCCGGACCTTCGAAATTTCATAAAAAATTAAGTTGAAGAGGTATCTTATGACTGCAATACTAGTACTGTAGTCAATCATACTCCTTTGCTCGATTAGTTGGCGATTCATCAATCCCCCAAAATAGGCAAATTTGACTGAAAAGCACAATACCATACTGTACCGTTGAGAATGCAAATAACGTTTAACGTTACGATCCCGCGAAAGGGTCGCCAAGGTTCAACTGCTTTGAGCCAAAAATGGAAGGCGTATACCCACTGAACCGCGTTCATCATCGACGGAAGTCCTGTTGCCTTTTGTATCGCGTCTGTGTTGAATTAGTCAACTCCTCGCTCGTACACCTAACCACATTGGCGCACGTGAAACTGGAGTCATTTTATGATTTCTCACTCCACACGCCCCTAGCGGTGGTCCTATTGGTTACGTTGGTGGATTTGAATTCTTTGAAGTAATAGCCGTGGCCCGTTACTTTAAAGTATATATTCCACATGCACATGGTGGATCTTCGCGAAGACGCTTTACATGTTATCAACAGCGGCTGTTCAATCAAGGGTGATAACAGTACTCGGCAATGATCGAGATAGTGTCATCCATTGACGGCATCTCGTCGTCGCTCGCATCGTACTGTATTGCCACATCCATGACGCTATCAGTGTGGAATAGTCCCCGTGCACGTTCGTGAAACGAATGGACGATACGTCGCTCTTGCTAGATCTCTCAGCGCCAGGTAGATCTTCAGCACCACTCCATCCTGATATCCTGCGCCTCCCACCCCCTCGAGACCCCCTTCGAACAGTATATATATACCTTTGTGATGGCAGTATCATAAGGTCACAGGGCAGCTCAAGCCCAGGCGCCATCTTCATCATATTCGCCTACTGGAAGGAAGGTCCCCTCTACATAGTGATTTTGAGGGGGCGTTGGAATGCGGGAGGTGAGAAGCATCACACTTGGCAAGTGAATGCAAGAATAGCAGAGTTTCCGTATCCTGATCTGAACTTTCCAATCGTGAACGCATATAAAGTGTCGTTGTTTTCATGCTACGAATAAATATCACTGACTAAAGCAATACAAGGCGGTGTGTGGAGCTTGGCGTGCACCGAGCAGGCCCCTTTGACACGTGCAAATCGATCGCAGCCGTCAAGTTTGCACCGAGAGCCTCCGCCATGAATGCGACAAAGACCATTCGTCTGTGACGATGTGGGGCAGCCGACGATACGGCACTTGCGCCCCCCACCGTGGCGAGTGCATAGCCCATGGTTTCGAGCGTACGAGTGGCATCCGTCAAGAAATCGGCATCTTGAGACTCGATGAGCTGGGGACTTGACCTTAGGTGACGAAGTACTTCTCATCGCGCATTGAGGGGATGACTTGATCGTTGTGTTTGCTCCAGGCGCTTGTGTCGTGAAATACCTCGAATGGAAAAGGCACATTGCAGATTGTTTGGCGTAACGCGAACATGTTGCCACGGAGCAAAGGGTCGAGGTCGGACAACCCACCATCATATCGTACACGTCACAGGTTGTCGTCTAATAATCCAGCCAATTCTGAAATGTCGGTACATTCACGAGCTACGGAAAGATTTTCGAACCATTCCTGGAAACTAACCCGCTGGGTAATGGAACCCGCACGTACAGGTGTTTACTTGTGCAGTATGGGGCAATTGTTGAAACGAATGACCAGTAGTTAGCATTCTATATCTCGTACGTAGTACGCCAAGATTGACAAGCATGCGTTGAGGTGGTGGTACTAACTAATGCTAATACACACTTTCCTTGCGCGCAATGGTAACAACTGCTGTGTCTATTCTATAGTGTAGATGTGGTAGGTTGATAATCGTGGCTCGCAATCGTATCTATTCAACAGTGTGTTCGACATTTTCACCCATTTGCTGACAGGTGGGGGGGGTGACCCAATCAAACGATTAGACTGCCACGTGCACAGATTCGATTCCACGGGCAGGTCACTCAACTCTGGCAATGACGTTGCAGTGGTAGTGTTAATTAGCTGATCTCTGGAATAATTTTCATCAATGCTATCTTACCCGGTACAGTACGATACAGTAGTAGCAGCCACGTCCTAAGATACCTGATGGGCTTCGTCTCCCGTTTATGAGCCACCAGGGGCGCCATGAAACATACCGTGAATGTTAGGGGTCAGTCGAGTGATATAGGCACTACTACAGTAACGTCGGGAATGTACCTCGGACGATGATTGCGCGATGCAGAGAATGAGAGAGATTGGTCCTGCGTCAAGGTGACGTTAGAACGCTGTCATGTGTCACAGGCCACAACATCATGTAACTTTAGTATAGTTTCAATGAATGAACCCGTAATTATCAGGCTGTACGTTACCTTCCTTCTGACGAGGCCCTACCAACTATAGCTACACTTCATCATTCTATTCGATCTTACCAAAAACTCAACATTGCGTACAATTGATCATGATCGTTCGTTCGGATCTCTGTGATGCCGACCTGACCTAACCCAAGTACGTAGTACCGATAGACAAGTGCATTTCGCCACAGCTCTACTCCAATTCACCTTAGCAATCCCCTTAAGAAGTTTAACCGAGCGTTGGGATGGTGAACTCAAGATGCATCATCGATTCACATATACCTTTCCCCTCGTTTTGCGAAAGATTGCCCCCTTTAGCTTGCGTCGTCCGAGGGAACCTCAAAGTGGAAGCTACGTGTAAATGAAGAAGTGTCGACTGCAGCAAACAGGGGCCGAGTCCTTGGAGGTGAAAGTCGAGGCAGGAGAGCCACTGTTGAAGCCTTACTCCATTGCATGGCCTGTGCCAGTCATACTCGATAGAAATAAAATGCTACCTACAATATAGGCGAAGCTGCGAATAACAAACAATAGCACTTCGTTTGTCTCGTCTTGCTGTCGAGCGATCGACCAAATCATGGCGAGCATGGCCGTTAGAAACAACTGCAATACTAAATCATAGTAATGTTTGCCGTTGTTTATCATCTTCGCGAATTCATTGCTTGAAACCGCCATGGAATTCTCGTGAAACTTAACATGTTGCAAGTACAATAATACGTCGCACATACAGTACTGTCCAGATATCGTACCGACGGTCCTGAGATCACAGTATGACATGTTATTAGGAAGTAAGCCTCGGGACATGTAAAATTCAGCCGTTTGATGTCTCACGATCATGGACAAATAGTAGCAAGTAGCATCAAGGACCACATTCTTCAACTCTCCAAACACAACCAAAATCCCATCTACAAATCGTCCAAGAATAGCAGTTAGTTTTCCCATGTTTGTCCAGTTGAACTGTTGGATTTTATTATTTCCAAATCGTCTAACCGGTTTCATTGGCTTTTACGCCAAAAGTAAAAACGGCTTCCACTCTGAAAACACCTAACGTTACCGGTAAAACACGTCGTCGTATACAACGGTGGTATACATGCAGGTTTACTGTCAGCCCTGCCTATTTTGCAAGCCGTAGCCAAACTGTACTAACTTACCGGTACTCTGACATTCAAGGTCCCCCCAGCAGTAAACCGAACGAAGTAGAAATGTTACACCTACGTAGCACTTCAAACGCCTGCGGCAGCTCGACGGCTTATTGTAGACGATTGAACTCAATAACGCGTGCCTAACGCCGTTAACTGCTCGTGAGTTACTACGTTTTGTAGTACTGTACTACTATTAATAGTACGAGTGTAAATATCTTACACTATTAGTAATGAGGTAATGCACTTTTAGACAATAGTATCTAGATATTTCGTGTTGGCCTTGTATGATTGGATATAATAATATTCGTCTCAATGTTGAAGTCTGGTCATAAGTCTGATCACTGTCAGTTTTTTTCAATCTCAAACAAAAAATACAAGTATTTAAATAGAATGTCAACTACCCTTGACGCTGTCCGGCCATACATACCTACGAGAGCGTCACGGCAGTTGTGCATAGCTACATGATACATGGAAGTACTTACTTTAGAGCCATCGCTACCATAGACAAAGAAGCAGGAGCGTATTGCTCCTCGCAACGACTGGATGGCATCCACTATTGCCGCTACTGATGTGATGAATTTAAATGTGATTGCATTTATTTACGCTGACTAATTAAATTCATGTAAGAATGATTGGACTACATTTCAGATTTGTATCGAAATTAAATGTTTTGAGCTGAGGTGAATCAATCCATGACACTCCTTAAAAACCTTGATGTTTTGGTTCGATTAAATTAATATGTAAAACATATTGATCAAAATATAATTGCATGCATTTCGCAATACGTAATAAACTTCTCAATGATACGTAAAACAAATTGTGGCATTTTATATTCTCTTGTGGTGCTATAAGCATCAACAAAATAATCGTTCTCGTTCTCGAGCTACTGGGATTTGAAGTCATGGCCAAAACTTGACCAAAAACAGTGTCAATAATTGATGCATTACCTACGAAGCACTCCGGAGTACTCCGGAGTATAAGGTTATTTGACATCGTGGCTTGCTAATTCGCTGATTGGACAGAATAGTATTTCGAAACGCATGCAATCGCTAATTAGCTAATTAGGCAGAAGGCAAATTCAACAATATATATGTGACGTGGCGTTACGCTATATATGTGACGTGGCGTTACGCCACGTTTCTGAGTGTGGCGGCATATCAAAACTTGATCACTCAGCCACAGGCACACATTCAACATGCACGCAGCGACACATGCGAAACCCACATTCGCCGGAACTTGATCGACGCCTTGTGTCTCACCTTCTCCGTAGTTCTAACGCTCCCGCATCCACCGATGGATCAGTGACCATCGCAACACCAATAGGTACCAGGTACTAGTAAGATAGAGCTAAAACCTTCGTCGTTAGATTTGGTTATGTATATACCAGGTGAAACGAAACACTGTTAATTATAACGGCACGCTACTGTACGTCGTCGGGCACATACTGTATTGGTCCAAGAGCTTGTCGAATCAGCATACATACAGTGGTACGCTTAATATTCGATTACGTGACGCTCTGAACCCATATACTGCACTACTAGTGCTGCCATATTTGTTCGTTGATCCGTGCTTACAGTTAGTACTACATAGTATGGTGGACTTGTGTTTCAAGTCGATGGTATGCAGGTGAGTTGGTACACTCGAACTGCTGTCGAGCGTATGCAAGGCGCGTTGAACTAACATTTTTGTAAGCTACTGTACTCCCTCACGTTTTCACATGTCAGTTTACTCTTTCGGCAGAAAAAAGCACTGGAGTGCGTAAATATGACCCGAAGTTCGAAGTACGGCACCAACACTTCCCTGTACAACCGCGTGCTGCCAATTGTCCACAGGCCTGCAATCTGACGTAATAATGCGTCCATTTCCACAATCGTTGGCGAGTTCCAAATGAACCCGACCAGCGCCGCCAGCCACGATACGCTCCTTGACGACGCCCCACCGTCCCACTGCTGCCTTCCCAGTTGTCGGCGGTATGCCAAGGAAGCCTCGCTGTGTCTTATCCACCATCGACTGCAACACATCGCGAGCACAGCGCCACGGCGCTCCGATGAACCAGTGTCCACTGGCCAAGCTTGGCCATTCACGTCGTCCGCATCGCCACGTTCATCCGTATCGACGCACGATACCTTCAGTAACACAATGATGGCCACCGCGCTTGCACCACGCTCGTCGTCGTCGTCGCCGCAGACAAGCCGAAACTCGCGATGCCGGTTCCACAACTGCACGTCGTATGCGAGAAACGGAGGCCTGTGCACCCGCCACGGTGGCGGACGCAAGTGTCACATCGTCCACTGCACAACGCCGTCCCAGACAGGCGGGTTGTGTCGATTGCATGGTGGCGGCACGCGGTGCAAGTCGGACGGCTGCGCCAAGTTTGCTCGTGTGCGTGGGTTCTGTTCAATGCACTATGGCAACTCAGTAGCTGTAGGAGCAGCAGCTGCAGCAACCTCCGCGTCGATAGATCAAGGACGACATAGAATCCCCCTTAGCAAATCGCCGTCGACTGAGTTACGATGAATGGTAGTGTTATAATTTACTCTAACACTGGGCTATGGAGGGAACAAAACACTTGATATTGTGCTGCGACACTTGGTCGCCATGTCGCTGACATTTCGTTGCATGAGGCTGGCTTGCTCATACAATGTACGGGGACGGTTCTCCCAGCAATCTTGTCACTTGTTCGTATTATGTGATATTCAAATGCAGTGTAAACGAAAACAACACATTCCAGCTAACGTTAGTTAGGGGTTGAGTGCATTCAAGTATTTGAGTGATAGCTAATAACCACTGGTGATGCAACTAACCCCAGGAAGAGCAACAAAAGGGGTTCCGGGGTTACAGTGCTGTACACTGGTTCTTTTAAAGGGAAATGATAACGTTAAAGTAAGCAACAGTGGAGCTGTTGCTCTGAGGGAATTATTCACGGTTCTCCAGTAATTTTCGACCCAACTGAGACGACGTCTCAGTTGGGCAAAAAACAAAATTACAAAAATACTCTTTGAATGGGGAATTAATCGTATTTGTCGTAGACAATCATTAGTCGTATGCAGCGTGAGCAGCATGTTTACTGGACAATCGACTGAACGCATAGCCAACATTGCACTGTACTAACTGGAACTCATACTCCGGAGTAAGAAGTTCGTACTACGTAAAGAATGCGTCCCCTTCGAGTGACTTTACAATGTTGTGCGTACGAATGCCTACCTACTGTATGGTGTTAGTTTTGTTTCACAGTCAGTAGGTATTATGAATTCCCAGTCCCCCGACTCATCCAAATTTGAGTGGATTTGATTGGCTCTTACAGAAAGGACAAGTATATTCAACCAATTAGAACTCCAGCGTGATTCAATATTGATTAGACAAACCACGCGAATTTTGGTAGTGTATACGGGATCATTTCATTTTGACTGGTGTGAGACTCCTTCCCACGATCGTACCCCGGAGGTACATTTTGTACTTCACTGTCAGTACGTACCGTACTACTGATACCCGTACTATTAATAGTACGTATCACTACAGTACGTACTCCTGTACTGTAGTACTAGTACCCAACATGGTACAATTAGTACACACTAGTATTACTGTAGTATCCAAATGTCATTCTACCAGTAACTCATTAACTCATTTGACGTTATGCTCTCATGTGATTGCGAGCAGTCAACATCACTTTTTACTTCGGGCGAACTACTGCCGCTGTCCAAGTACGAATAGTATTTCCTAGTAGTACTACCGTTGTAGTATTGTAATCTTGATATTTTAAAAAATCTATAAACTCTTTTAGATCTACCTATAACTTTAGGATTATGATTCCTACGCTCTAGTACCAATTACCGGTACTATTAAAACATACTAATAGTACTACTAGCATAGGACGGGAAGTCAAACGCAAGTCAAGTTTACATAAGAATAGACTTGATTATAGTATGGTTTTGTCCAGGTGAGAGATTCTATCACCCAGAACTTCAAGTTTAGAGGTATCAGAAATGGCGTATTTTTAATCACTTTTAAGGACATGGATTAGGGTGCGTCTGGTAACATTTCAAATATAATATTCTACTTTCTCGCAAATGCCATTTTCAAAATGGAAGTAAAAGGTCTACCCTTAATAGTATTTTGTAATAAGGCGTTTTGGACCTCTTGAACGAGTAAATTCCACGTGGAATTATTGGATTTGGGTGAATACTCTTCAAGCAAGACATGTTTCTATTTTGATCAGATTTGTTGAATTTGTCCCCAAAATGGCGTTTTGGGCCAGAATATTATAATATTTCCGGTTACCTACCCGTAGCCAAAAGCGAATAAAAGCACAAATACGATTAATACTAATACATCAAAGTTGTTTTCTAATTAAACGGATCACAGGTCCTTTTATGGTTCATGTATCCAACCCCTTGACGACCAACACGACAGTAGTACCCTTCCAGCCAAAGCAAAAGCCATCGGGTATACATTTCTAGTGGACATACAGGTTCATGTTTTCACGAGGGACTTCACGACCAGGGACGACGTTCGCGCCAACAAGAGTGGATTCGGCAAGCACAAGGATCGACAGGATGTCTTTCGAGACGCGGGCGGCGACTTCCGACTCGGGCACGCCGACGCACTCGTACATCCCTCGGAGCTCGGCGTGCACCGCGTCGTCGGTGGTCGTGACCAGAATGCCTTGCTGTTCCTTGCCAAGTGTGTACTGGGCAGAGCTAAACGGGGCCACGGACTGACTGCCCACCAGCGTCGAGTGTGCGTCCACTTCATGCCGAAACACCACGGACCAGTGTTCCAGGAGCCGCATTTCCATGAGCGATTCCACGCGCCTCATGACGCGAAGGGACGACGGATGGATGTCCATGACGCATTCCTGGGAGATCAACGTGTAATGGGATGTGCCGCAGCGCGGGAGGGCGGTGGTCGCGCGCCATACGCGGTCTGCCATGTCTGTCCTGGACATGGCTCCTGCACATGCAACCAACGGGCAAACGTGAGTTGAAGTCATGCACATACTGCTAGTATATAGTACTAGATACACGAGACTAGTACAAGGAGTTCTTGCAGCAAAAGAAGACAAGGACAACGGACCTGAAAACGACTTGGTTAGGGCAAACCGGACTTGCGACCCTTCCATCCACACGTCGCCGACCCAGTTGATGGAACTGATCGACATCACTTGCACCCCTTTCTCCACCACAAATGACATCAAGCCGGCGGCGGCGGTTGCGGCAAGTGCTGCCATCGCATTCGCTTTGTCGGCATGCACTGGTTCTTCGGAAGGTGCTGGCTGTGACGACGGACGTGGTGGTGGTGACGTGGACAACGACGTCGCGGTGTGAATGGTTTCCTGCATGAGAGTTTGGATGAACCGCAATTGTTTGGTCGTGTGTTCGAGGGCGAGAGTGAGGTGCTGGTTGTGCCGCCGCAACGAGGACACTTCCGCATCCTTGTCCGACGTAGCGGTAGACAAAGCCGAGGATGAGGAGGCTGAGAGGTCGCGCAGAACTTGTTCCATCTCATTCACGCGAAGGCGTAGGTACGCGACTTCGTCCTTTTGCTTGATGCGGCAGCGGCGCGAGGCTTCTCGAATCTGTTGTTTTCGCTTTTCGCCCTTCTTGGCCAAAGTAGGCGCTGGTTTGCTATCCACGACGGGGCCGGATCGACTCGAGTCGTACGGGGTGTTGCTGCGGCACGTCGAGCCATTCGACGAGACGCCAGCTGAATACGGCACGAAGGGTTCAGAATCCACCGCATCCAAGAACAAATCAGCATCGAGGCTTCCATACTCGAGGCTCAAAGCATGCGACTCGTAGCACGACGGTGGCGGCGGCTGTTGTTGGTGCGGCGCCATTGCGAGCACCTGTCAAGAAGAATGATGATGAAGACAGGATGTGGGACAACAAGTGTATTAATATTTTGTCGTTCCGATCAAGAGTGTTGGTTTGAACTTGATTTTAGAATGTGCTCAGAAATGCTGGAAATAAATTTGAGATCTCGGTGTATATATGGATTTCGGCGCGCCAAGCATTACCGCCGCCGTGTAAGAAGTCCTTGACATGAGATTAGCAAAATAGGAGGCTCATGTCGACTGCATGAGGAGAGACCGAGGAGGAAGCGACGCAAAGTCTACACATGAGAAGTGGTTTGAGGCGGACCCAGTTGTACAAGGTGTGTGTGTGTGTGGCTTCCAAAATAACGTTACAGTAACGTTAATATGTTTCAATAGATTTCACGAAATTCGAGGAGCTAGAGGCTGAGGGAATTAATTGGTCGTTTCGATAGATTTTCCAGTGAAACTGGTCTCCAGTGCAACTTCCATAGGCGCAAAATATTAGCCTCTGGAGGACTTGTTGAAAGCGCGCGAGAAATTCAAACCTTTCCAGATAAAGCTCCGGAAAAGGGGGATTTGTATGCATTTCACCCAAATTTGGTCGTTTGTGAGTCATTTCGTCAAATAGCATTCGAATCTATTTGATTTACTGTTAATCTTGTACAAACTATACTTTACAAAAATTAGTTGATTTATTGTTTTGCCCAATGCGGAGGGTTTGGGCCGAATGAAACGTTTGGATTGGTAAAAATTGAGCAGGACATGATTTAATTGGCTTAGGCGGTTCTTTACAGTTAATCCATTCTCGTAAGACATTCGATTCTAGTTTTGGCAATTTGTAACAGTGTTCAAGGCCTGTTCCATGTAGATATCTTTAGCAAAATGGAAATTGGTTCCAAGTACAGTTTCCTACCGTGCGTTTGGGCAAAACGAATGTATTGGTTAGTTCTTCCATAACTTTTCCCCCATGTATCACTTTTGAGATCTGAAGGTATATACTAAAATAGGAGAAATCAGTTCATCGGGTGAGGGGTTTTATAATCAATACAACGGGATATTAAAATAGATATCGTTGTTTCAAATTTCGCTCCTGCCATACATTCTGAGCAAATCAATATACTCAGAACAGCGATATTTAAATAAAAAATATTTCTGCACTCAGGCCAAAATTTATAATATTACGAGCGGGAGTACTGAAAGTCAAGTACTACCGTAGTGGATATTCTCTTTGCAAGTTTTTAAAAATTCGAGCTATTTTATTTTCAATACGTGCCAATCCGACCCAAGCAATGCTTGGATTCCCCATGTCGCGAAGGCACATAAGTCTATCACCATTCATATTTAGCCTTCAAAACTGGGGATTCATCATCTTTAATTCAAGACGAAGCGATTAAGAAAAGAATGAGCTAAATCCGACCAGTATTTGAAAACGAAAGATTCGTTTTGCCCAAACGCACGGTACGTTTTACCTCTTTTTGTGCGATTTTTTACGCACCTCACTATACCAAAAGTAGAAAAAGAGGTCATTCACGTCTTTTTCTAAATCGTGAAAAAAAAGGTAAATCGTTTTGATTGGCTCATGCTATTTCTGAAAACTACTTCGAACTTCCCCTAAGGGCGTGTTCGGAGCGACTTTAGTGTCAGCGGTTTTTGGAAAAGTAGCCAATCAAAATCGTTTCCATCGACTTTTGCAAAAACCGCTCTGGACAACCTCCTTGAATCTAACTGTAAATTAGAATTATTTTTTCCAGTGTCCTGGAAGCATCTGTCACTGGGATCGGAGCGGTTTGTCATCTGATGTCGCCGAAGTACCTTCCTTGCTACCGAACGCCAGATCTCGTTGTCCAGCTCGTCGAGGTCGGACATTATTTCAACAATTCCGCGATTTCGTTATTTCTGGCACAAGCATACTGTAGTATTGTTTTAAAATGGCATGAATAAGTTATTTTAATACAGTGTACGATAAAAAAATGTCAAAGTTAACATGAAGTTTATCATAATTTATTACCCAAGTACTACGTATTAAGGGCGTGTTCGGAGCGACTTTTGTGTCAGCGGTGTTTGGCTTTTTCCACAAGCCGCTGAAATATCAGCGACTTTTTGCCTTCACTGACATTGGTTAATAACAGAGAAAAATCAACCAATGATGCGTCCTAAAATTCATTGTCCATTTTCAGCTTATGACAGCGGAGCGCAGAAAATTGTTGTCGCGTAGTGGCTGTGGTGGCCAAATGTTCAGGCGGCGAGTGGCGAAACGACGTAGAGTAGATATAGCGCATGAGAACTATGTATCTACGCAAGTCAGTCATAAGTCGGCGGCTTGGAAATATAGACTGCCACGCTAATGGCGCACCGGTAAAGGTCAAACCGACCGACAATGCTATGTGTTTCAACCTTGTGCGTCGGTGTGACCTTCTCCTTCCCGAAGGAGTCGTGCAGTCATCACTACTAACTCTAGGCATGCGCAACCCATAAGATCAACGCCTAGCTAACCTGAAATCAGTTTACAATACACAGAGCCTAGGGTTCAGTACAAGTAGGAGGTCGCGCGGGAGGGGCATGTGTACAGCGTTCGATGCGTTGTGTGTGCAGCTACCCTCGACATGGAAATGACTTACCACAGCCGTGCTTCACATGGGTAAAGTTCTCCCGTCGAGGACCTACCAGTACACACCGGAGTGGAGTGACGAACCACCGGTACCCGACAAGGGCGTGCTTTGGGCGTGCTCCTGCGAAATTTTGGTTTGCAACCAACAATTTATTCTGATATTTTTGCCCAATAAATAGCCACAATCCCGAAAGTCGCTATACACGATTAGTCGTAATTATCCCTCTAAAATAATTTATTTTATGAGCATGTTGAAAGCAATAATTTATGAGTGACAGATTTCACACAGGTCCAATTATTAAATTGTGGATCACTAGTACGAATATTTGACATATTTATTTTTATGCCTTCTGGATGTAACCTAACTAGGTTACATCCAGAAGGAATAAACAATGCAGAACTCTGCACTGTACTGGTAATGTACTGTAGGCGACTTGTTGATGACTCTACGTATTCTATTGCTATCGTTAGTGCACAATGTGTGAATATCGAACATACCTATTGGTACGAGTAATAATGTACGTCCACAGGTGCCACCAACGCAGCACATCACATCTCTAATAATGCTACGTAACGTTAGAGGATTGAATATAATTCCATCCAGTACAGTACGATTACATGGGCAACCTCGCTGAGCGGTAAGCCACACATATGCACTGAACTAAACTTCTTATGTAATGGGGAGAAACTAACATTTATTGTATGCTACGGGTTGTAGTCCAAATCGAAAAATGATTCTTAGAGGTTTATTGGTGTAGAGAGTTTCTCTAACTATGACCATAAAACCATTGACCTACAGTATTTCACCTTGTTGACTTGTTGAAAAGCATACTTGATCATCATACAAAGGTCAATATGTATTTAATTGGAGCTAAGTAATTCCACAAATCTATTGGTCGAATATTCACTAGAGTTGTTGTGGACACACCACCTACAGTACAAGAGAATGTAACCAATTCGAAGACCTTTCTTGTTTCTTCGACCATGCTTTGGGGTAGAATTTTTGAAAGCCCACAATTTAGACGAAAGTTGTTCCGAGCGGACAATTTTTTTTTGTTCATGTGGTTGCAATTCACTGTCAATTATGAATTCTTACGCCGAAAATAACTATATCGCAATTATATAAAACTAATTTAAATATAGTACGTTTCCCCTGCCCCGGATGCTTCTAGCTATGTTTAAAGCGTGATGGAAAATCGTGTTGTGTTCGTAGCGTTGATGGAATTGGCGTTGCAACTAACTATTGTGTGTTCCCAAAGCCGCAGGTAGATAATTCGACGATGCAATGTATCGATAACTGCCAGTCGCGCAAAGGAATACAGTATGATGATCTCGAAATTCACCGGATGCATGCACTTTCTAGAATCTGTCATAATTCCATTATTATATTGTTCATTGGAGTGGGGTGCTCAATCGAATGAGCAGAATCACCAAATCGGCAGAGAATCGATATACCACCAATCAAAACACAAAACACATGAATCAACTAGCCAATCAAATCCACTCTTCGAATAATTCAACATCGAATTAGTGTGTGTTTGAAAATAGTGTGACACTGGACGATCTTTACATGCAAAAGTCAGTACAAAGAAGAATCGATCGATAGATTTGGCAAAGAATCCGCACAAAAGTCAACCAAATTTTGGGTAAAAGACAGACAATACTGTACTGTACATGAATCCCTCCCACTAGTTCAAATGATCGATATTTAACGGCACTGAAAGTAAGTAGATCATAGACGCACACGATTATGTACTTTGAGTAGATTATTTTTTTAATATCTTTTCTACATTATTGCTCTCTCCAAGATATCTGTACAAATGTTAGTCCAAAGTGGAGTCCATTACTATTGTATATCATTAGCCCCCCTCGCCTCCCCCTTGTTTAAATGTACTCGAGATCGTCCAACTCAACAACGCTACTGTCCGTGGTGGCTACGAGAGCAGCCGCGTCGTCGTTGTCTTCATCCGAGGCATCGCCTTCGTCGTCCAGATCTGGCAGCGGCATGCGCAAGATCGCTGCGACGCCGCTCAATTGGCCGAGTTTCTCGCCCGATACATGCAGACTGCTAAACACCCGGACGACGCCGCCGTTGTCGCGGACTTTCTCTACCAGCGTCACATATTTGCGCCGCGTTTGCACGTCCTGCGATCGGAACAGCGAGTCGGCAATCAGCAAAGTTTCCACCGCATTCTGGTCGTTGGCGCGCACCACATGCTACAATATATATATTGAGTCTGTCATCCACGATTTTTAATCTTTTATATTCGAAAGGACAAAAACATTGGATAAGGAGGTCAAAAAAAATAGGCCAAAATCTTGGATATTTTGGCAATCTCTAAAAATCGGCAAAAAATGATAAAGTATCTGTCTCGATCCAAAATGTGTGGGGAATTATTCAATATTGTGCAAAATATCGCGATTTGTTTTCGCCAAAATATAAAACACAGTGATTCAACGGACTTCTTTTTGTTCTGAAAGTTGGCAGCATGAACCGAGAATCGTAAAAAACAATTTCGAAATCAGTTATAGAGAAGACTGTCAAAAATAGAAGACAACTATTGTGGTACATTCGATACAAATTTCCAGACCCCGTCGAATCGAATCGAATCACGAATCGACGCTATTGGCTAATCCATTTTTGAGTGGATTTGATTGGCTCTTGCAGAAAGAAGGGCAAGTATATTCAACCAATCAGAACGCCAGCGTGATTCAATATATTGATTCGACAAAACCAGGCGAATTTTGCAAGTTTATAGCGAATTCACAATAAATTCTTTGAACTACTTTAACCAACTTTCGAAATATGAACCCTCAATACTTTAACCAACTTTGGAAATATGAACCCTCAATATATTTTTAAAAAATAGAGGTTTTCAACTTCACAAAGCCCCCAACATGCAACCAACATGAATACTACGACGGACGACGTACGTTGTACCCATAGTAGGCGCGATCTTGGTCCGTGTGCAGCATCTCAAAGAACGTATCCAGGCACTTGACGTCCCCCGCGGCCTTGGTGTCTTCCAACTGCACTTTGACTTTCTAACACATAGATGAGAGAGGACGCCATGTTTGGATGACGGTACCGCATCCGCGAGGACTTCGTCCAGCGCGTGCTTGTGCCCCGAAGACGCATGTACGAGTATGAAGCGCGCCTTGTTCTCGAGAAGGACCTTGTCGTCCGTGCGCACGGCGTACTCGAGCATGTACTTGAAGAAGTCATCCTTTACGAATCCAGGGCTGGCTACGAGTACGCATTTCACCAAGTTGAAGTCAATGTGTCGCTTCAAGCTCTATGAAACAAACAGATAACGCCAGTTAGTTTAGTCAAACATAACGCAAATTTTAGCCAAAAATGGTCTGGAATTTGGAAAAAAATCGTTTTTATTTTTTATTTTTTCGCATAAAAACGTAAAATGTGCGAGAGATAGTTGTTTGTGGTGATAGGGAAGAACCTGGACGATGTTGTCGTAGAAGCGTTCGACGCCCTTGGCATGCGATGTGTTTCCAGGACGCTTGCGGGGGATGCTGCTCTCGATCTTGGCGCGGATCACCGTCATGTGCCCAGTGATCAAGCACAGATGCGCAAGACCGGTTTGCATCACGACCTACGGGAAGAGATGGTTGGGATCATGACGGGGTCGAAGGAGGATGGAACCGCACCGCGGCAACGTCGGCCTGTTTGGCTACGTTGCATGCAGTCTCGATGCGCTCAATCGACATGAGATCCCAGCAGTTCTTCTTCAATGTAAAGTCCTTGTTGAGTTCTAGGTCGGTTGTGTGCGACGCGCCCATCTACATGTTTCATCGAGTGAGGATACGATGCAGCGATACGAAGCCGACGTACGCGAACATGCGGGTTCTCTTCGACGTTGACACCTTTGATGCGGAGCAAACACTTGGCCGGGTCAAAGTCGATTTTGTCGATCTCAAGTGCCAGACTCATGCGCATGCGCTGGCTAGACGTCGAGCCCGTGGCGCCTTCCTTGACCACTTTGCGCACCGTCGTGGTCTTGAGCGTGTCGCCTTTATGAATCAGGTTGAACACATGCCACATGTCCTCCGGCTCCTCTGCGCGGAGAGATACCGACCCCGTGCCATCCTTCTCACTGATGTTCTTCTTGAGCAGCTTCATGTCGACCACCCCAAGTTGTTCACCCGATCAAGAATAAGCGTCGTTCTTGAAATAATTATTGCCCTAATTCAACGAAAAATACCTAATTTTATGATTGAAATCGGAAATGAAGACAAAACCACGTGAAATCCTAATTAGGCACCCCACATTCGATATTTTGGCGCGACAGTCCACATGCACACGAACTGGCACAGTGACGACAGCGATGCCGCGTCTTGGATGGACGAGCAAGGAAGCGAAGGGCACAGCTCGTCCTTGACGCACCAACCCTTCCTCTTACACCCTAATGCAACCCCATCGCAGCAGAGGGATGCGAACGATGACATTGCCGAGGCCATCCAGAGCATTCAATTCGACATGGAGTTGTGGCACGACATGTATGCCGTGTCGGCGCCGTACATTTCGCCATCGCAGCAAGACGCGTGGAAGGCAATTGTCACGCAAATGCAGCAAGTGTCGCATCGAATAATCGGTGGCGGACACGACGTCGCCCACGAGGCCGCAAGCTTGCCCACAGTCGTACCTGAGAGGAAACAGCGTCACAGTTCCATCGTGTCCGACGCGCAACCAGAGAGTTACTGGGCAGGGCTGTGGTCTCGCTTGGGAGACGTCGAGAACGACCGCAATCGCGTCATGCACGCACGAACGATGCCTGGCGACGAGTACGTGCTACAGCAGATCTGGAGCTGCTTGGACAGCCAGGACTTTGCCGCGGTGGCGGCGGTGTGTTCCGACTGGTTCCGTCTCGTGTATCACTCCAAGTTGGGCCAGAGGCAGTGGCAGCACATTGTACGCAGTCGATGGCCGCAAGTTCACGGCTGGGACGGCGACCACGCGTTCGTATCGAGGGTGTGTGGGACCACGAGGGACTGGCGGCATCGATTCATCACCCTACACAAGTGCGTATGGCATTCCCCGACCTCTTAGCACCAACAACCTATGCAGTGGTTGCTTTCGAGTATCACGACATGAGATTATTGGCCTGTTGAGTAGACTCAGCTCCAACTGGCAACATGGACGACTACTCCACCAGAGTACAATTCCCGTCGAGCTCACTCCCACAATCGTACTGTACCCGTCCTCGTCATTTGCATGTCCATTCAGTGATGTTGTGGTCGCCATCTAGCGTTGCATGCAGTTTGTGGACCAGTCAAGACTGCTGCTGCTAGGCGACTCGCGCGGCGGGCTGCAGATGAGAAACCTACACAGGGATAGCGCACCATCCTCTATGGAACTACCGGCGGCAGACGGAGTGCTTCGAGCGCACAACTACAGCGTCACTGCCATCTCCAGTCATGGAGATCGAGCGGTCTCGGGGTCGGTGGACGGCACGCTAAGTGTCCACGCCCTAAGTGCATTCCACACCAGTCCAGTACCCCATGGCCACTTGGATGCCATCACTTGGTGATACTTCACGTCGTGTGTATGATTGTTGTTATGACTTTCGAACGCCGCGAAATAGTGTGGAACTACACCAAGATGTCGTGGCCAGTGGCTCGAAAGACGCCACCGTGCGGCTGTGGGACCTCCGAAATGTGCAAAGTGGTGCTGCTCTTGTGTTTGAACATCGACGTGAGGCGGTGCGCATGGCCACGTTGTCGCCGGCGGACGCCACCAAATGGCTCGTTTTCTATGGCGTACGAACTGGGAGATGAGGTTTCAGAGTGTAAGGACACACACTCTTGGGTAGGATGGCATGTGTTGTGTGGCGGACGTGCGCCGGCCCGATGTTCCAGTGCATCAAGTGCAGGGCACATTTCCGTACAAAGCCTCGGCGTGGGTGGCCAACTCGGTCCGAAATGAAAGATACCGCAATTCGTATAACATTTGGTTGTATGTACTGGAAATACTAGATGCTTTGCGTGGTGGAATCCGACGGCGGCGTCGCCTTGATAAACGACAGCGGTGCGTTGGTCCGCCGCCGCCGCCGACCTTTTAGCGGACCTCCCTTGACCTGCTTCCCCGTTTTCCACGGCAACCAAAACGACGGCGGCATGTTTGGGGTGGCCACGTCGGACCCTAATCACGCGGTGGAGATCTACCACATCCGTGATCACGGCACGATGACGCCGGCGTATTCGTTGCCGTTGCCGCCGTCGCCACTCCGATGCAGTGCTGCCGACTGGACATCCGTAGTCGGTGTTGAAGATCGCGGGCTATTGCATGAATGGTCGTTCGATGACCAAATTACATGGAAATAAAGTAATGTTTATTCTTCGTTTGATTTTACAAATAATATACTGTAAAAGACACTGTGTTATTGTGTATTCAACACTAAATTGGACTGGGGAGGCGAATCGAATAGCCTAAACAAAGAGATTATGAATGTCTTAAGCCAATCACATCACTCGATTCCAGACTGTCGCTTCGGATTGGGTAAAATCAGTCGGGAAAAACATGGAAAATACATTCGAAATCGCTTTGAAGTTTCGACTGCGAAGTCCAAAGTTCAGTGAAAAGCACAATACCAAGTACGAAGTACTACGTACTTCGAAGTACATACGTAGTTCTTGTGAGATTTGCCGCGAAAAGGTGTTTTAAATATTGTTTGGGTGGGCCTGGATCACACCTCAATCTTTGCCCAAAAAATTCTACTGTTTTTAAATTATTAAATAATATAAGTTCTATTTTCCATCTAAATATTTTTTTTAAATTAAAATTATTAGAAATTATTTTTATAATTAATCTTTTTTTTCCAATTTGTTTTAAATAATAATCTTTGCTTAATATTTTTTATTTTGTTTTGCATAATTTATATTTCTGGAGATTTAATATTTCGAAAATTGAGTAATTGGAAGAATTTGGTTGTCCTCTAGGTTTGACTGTCTCGATCAATTTGATCGAACGAAACTCAGTGTTTGCCAACTTTCAGAAAAAAAAGTCCAATTCTCCAAATTTTGGATCCAGACACCTATTTTTTTATTGTTTGCCGATTCTTAGAAATTACCAAAATATCCAAGATTTTGGCCATTGTTTTGACATCCAGACTCACGTTACTTTAAACGTTTCAGAGATACAGTACGATGCATGCTCCGTATCCCACACCCATACAGGATGGTAGTTTGTGGACTGAATGCATGAAGCAGTAGTCCCCGTGCAATACGCCAGAAGTACTAAATATGTGAACAGTCAGAGGTTTTGGTCTTATCAAGTGTTGGTTTGTTGGGAAAGTTGGTCGACGTAGCCTCCTACACGACTCCAGCCAACAATGTGTCGACGCTGGCTGTTTCGTCCTTTGTCTTTTGTGTGAGGGGTCCGCTGACAATGCCACGTCATACTACGAAGTTTCACGTTGTCACAGGTCGTACCATAATTCGTGGATGGCAAGCGGTTTCGAAGACGCCCCGGCAATGGCAATGGATGGTCGACACGTTCTTGCAATGTCCGCCCTACGGCGTCCACCGATGAAATAAATATCATTCGATCTATACAATATATATATATATAAACTCAAATCTACTTACGAAAGTGCAAACAGCACTTTGCCCTTTCGTTTCGTGGCCACGGATGGTCCTGCGGACTCTGTCACCACGGGCATCTACGACAACCAATGTTATTCATCATCGTGCTTGAGATATATATTTATGAATGAATAAGTTACCATCCGGGATGTCAAGAGGTCCCAAATCGTCAGAGTGCCGTTGGTGTAAAGCACGTAAAACACACTCGGGCGGGATGGCGACCACATCACGCGAGACACACCGAGTGCCACGTCATACCATGATGCAATGTCCCGGGCCAGATCCACATGGAATAAACTAAACCAATCCACCAACATTGTTTAGAATCATATTACAAGAAGGGACAATGGCTACAGTAGTCGTACCTGAGGCTGCCGTCGGCGTACCCGGCGAGAAAGTACTGGGGAAGTGTCGGGTGAAAGGCGAGCGATGTCACAGCCGACACGCCCCCACCACCGTAGTCCCCTCCTCGACGGTACGCCTTGACGCCGAGTTTCTTGTCGAAGCGGCTGCCGTGGACGATCGCCCCCCCCGTCGTCCCCACCACAAACCTACAACAAAAGGTGAGCAGATTTACCTCTTTCGTATGGGGTGATGGAGATACTGGTTGGGGTCGGCGGGGAAAAACGCAAACTCGTTCGCGGACGGACCGACCAACAGCGACGGCGCCGAATCGATCACGGCCGTCTTGACCAGCTTGACCCGGCCGCCGATTTCCACGCAGCTGTCAATGGACAATGCCCTGGACCCAAGAGTACGATTGTGAAGAGTGGAATCTGTATATTGATATATCGATGACAAATACAACACGAAAACGCACTCGTGGTCGGTTCGGCATTCAATCACACTCCACACGACCAGAAGGCCGCGGTTGTCTAGGGACCCAAACTGAAAATTGGCACCTACATTTAACAATACCAACGAGTAAATTTGCTGATACGAGCCGCAACAAAATAGTACTACTAGTACGTTAGCAAACTGATGAACTACGGAGTACACGAATGACATACCTTTTTTCCCAGACGGGATCGCCCGCACGGCAGCCTAAGACATCGAGTTTTGCCAGTAAAGTCACAAACATTGAATGGATTTGAATGTATGTGAGTTGTTACAATGGGCGACGTGTGGTTGTGGTCGTGCTTCATGCCTGCTGTAGAGTACGTGGGCGGTTCCACTTTGACTTTGATGCTTGGGGCTAGGTTCAAAGTGTGTCACAACATACAGTGTCTCAGATTGAATTTCGTAGGATTGTTTCTACCTTCAAAGCGCGGGGACGGGGGCAGACGCAGGTCCCACACTTGCACCGCGCCTTCGTCCGACCCGCTCAAGACAAACATGTCCCGGCCAGGCCCAAACCCCACGCAACTCACGACGCCTTCTGCGCGAAGCCACCTACGCAACCACCTTCTTCACAAAACGCCATCGACTTTGAACCGCATGCACACGCACCGCACGGGGGACTGCACTTGGTTGATGTCCCACACACTCAAGATGGACTTGTCGGCGAACGGGGCGTTGTTGTCGCCGTCGTCCGCTGGCCCGTACCCTCCCACGAGCCAGTGGGACACTTGATGAGAGAATGCCATATCTGCCAACGAAGTCGACGTCTTTCATTGATACACAGTAACCATAACCATGACAGACAGTACCGAGCAAGGGTCGATATTGAAACAATGCATGGTCGGCGTTGATCGAGACTTGCTTGGCACTAAACCCGTTCAATGAGGCAGTGTCACATTGCGACTGTGGGATCGTGTCGTGCTGCTTTTGGTTAGACGCCCCATCTGCATACATGAGGTTCTCCTCCAACAAGACTTCGCACGCCTACCCATATAACAACGTCTGTTCTCACTCTCATGGATCTTTCTATCACGTACATGCGATGCCCGAGCCAAGAACCCAATGAACCGACGGGAGCTTGTAGTTGTCGTCGTCGAGTCGGTCAGAGCTGCGTCGACCCCCATGTCGTCCGGAAATAGCATTGACTGGTCCTTCATGGCACGGGGTTTGGTCTGCGTCTGAACGCTGCGGGCGTCGTCGTTGGTCTGCACAAATACTTGCCGGACCGCACACACCCGCAGCTGGCCCATGTACTTGTCAAAGTCGGTGAGGGGTGCCAGTTGAAACATGTCGAACCGTTCCGTCTCCATCTTTTTCTTGTCCAAAATTTCCTAAGTCCATTTCGCGTGGAGCGTACAAATATATATACACGTTTGCCGGTGGTTTACTTACTTTGACACGCTTGGCGCGGGGGTCGATAGAGTGTTTGAGACCTGCAATTGATGCCGACACCCCGCTCGTCGCCTTCTTTGCCCCCGTGCCTACTCGACTCATCTGCAACTTGTCCGATTTCGAACAAGTCATCACGATACCTTTGGCTTCTTTTGCATCCTTTGGGGCCGCGGGTGTTTGTTTTGCAGTAGTTGCCTTTTTGCTGGCACCACCACTGGACGGAGTTTGAGGTTTGCTTTCCGCTTGTAAAGCTTCGCGTATCTTTTGCACCGTGGCGAAATCCTCGGGCGGGTCCATCAACGACTGCTGGTTGGATTTGCTACCATTGGTGCTGAGTTTCTTGGCTTGCGCGGGTTCGTCGGGCTCTTCGAACCCGCCGTCGTCGTAATTCTATCGATCGTTCAGTTCCAGGACACAGTTACAATGTAGACAAGCGGACCTCAAAGTCTTCGTCGTAGTCGTCTTCTTCCTGACACTCCTCCGCGTTTGCATTGAGGGCGGCGAGTGCCTCAACCTTTCGCAGCTCGCGCTGCCGGGCTTCTTCTTCACGCCGCGCCATGTCCAGCGCCTGCCGCTCCAGCTCCTCCTTGCGTTTCTTGGCCTCCTCCGCATCTTTCTGCTTCTGCCGCTTGGCCTCGCGACGCGCCGCAGCTCGAGCGCGCTCTTCTTCGTCGTCGTTCTTTGCACTCTTGGAACTTAAACATGAGAACGGATGTCCTTTTGACTGTAGAAGAAATAGTCTTACCGAGGTAGTGGGGGATTGCAACGACGCTACTGTCGGAGCTCCTCCTCCAGGCATTGCTGCCACACCTGTCACAAGACCCGTCGAGGTGCCTGGCGGTGCCACCGCAGTGGTGGCGTCAGGAGCCTTCTTTTTCGTCGACTTCTTCTTGAGTTTGTCGTCCATGGCACCTTCCGTTGTACCCCCTTTGGGCTCGGCGACGGTGCCCAAGTTGGCCGCATGGAAGTTCATCTTTGGCACATCGCTCATGCTTGGTTGAGCTTGAGGCGGCGTCTTGGGGGCGCTCGAATGGGGTTTCTGCGGCGTCGAAGCCGACGTTGGCGGGGACGATTTCTGTGCGCCAGCAGCAGCAGTTGGGGATGCCACCCCTAGGGACGGACCGCCTTCTCCTGGCGGTGGCGCAGTTGTCTTCTTCGACGACTTCTTGGATGCCTTCTTCATCTCGCGCTTCAAGTCATCGTCCTCAGAAGTCTTGGGCTCCGCCATGGCGCCAAGCAAGTTCAAAATGCGCGGCGCTTCAGTGTGCCAAAATCCGGATAAAACGTATCTTCCGGATATCCTGGTTGAGAATCGAACGGTCGTGTAATTCCATCTACCAACAATCGAACATGGAGCGCAAGGGAGCGGACTACAAAGGGGTCGCGGAAGAAAAGTACAGCTATGGGCGCAAGAAAGCTGCTTCTGGTTACAAGGATGCCGACGATAGTGATGCCGAGTCCAAGTCCGTCGCGTCCTCTGGCCAAGAAGAGGAGCTTGACTTTGCCCAGGAGAAGCTGCTGGATTTGGACGTCGAGTCGGAATGGGAAGAGATCAGGAAACGACCCAGCATCGCACGCATCCAAAAAGCCGTGGATCCCCGTGGCAAGAAGATTGCCGACGGGCTCAAGATGTACGTCGCTATGTCGTTGTCTTCCATGGACGTCGTGGTCACGACGGGAGGTTGCTTGTAGAAATTACATGAACATGCGCTGTGGCGACTCGGGACGGATGTTGTGGCAGTCGGAAAAGTGGGGCAAGGACATGTTTGAGCGCGAGCAGAAAGGTAAGTCACTGCCATCGTGCTCACTCATCCCCTTATCGACCCACCATCGTCGTCTTTTCGTCGTAGCCGTGGTGCCCAAAGCCATCCTCCAATGCACCTCCGTGTCGCGAGAGATCAACTTCAGTTCCACCGAGGAAATCAAAGCCTTTCGCCTCGAGCAGCGCGTGTTCTTCAATGGCCAGTGCTTGGAAGGTTCGTTTCTCAATCTACGTCGTACTGTATCCCATATTTTGGTTTTGGATCTAGAGTGGCTGTTTGCTTTTGGGTTTGTGATTCCGCACTCGACCAACACATGGCAGCAGACCATCGACGCCGCCGGCCCCGACGCGATGCTGCCTGCCGACGCGATCAGCGGTAACCTCACGATCGAAACGGGCTTTTACGACGCCAACGTGCTCATTGCCAAGACTGTGTATCGTATCTACTACGATTAAAAAAATAACTTAGTGGGTCGTCTGGTGGAGTCTCGATTTTCACTCGTTGTCGTCGTTGGCATCGTCCGTGCTTCGGCTAGTAGTATTACTACTGCCGGTGGTATAGCCTGGGGGGTGGTTACTACTACTATTACTAGACGTCGTGGGCCACTGGTCCACATACGCGTGCACGTCGCGCACAAACCTCGCCATGCTTCTGTCATGATCTTGTTGGAGCTCCTGCATCTTCCCTTCCAGCGCCGCCACTTGCGCCATGAGCCGCCGTTCCTTGTCTTTGGCTGCCCCCAAGGCTTCGCTGGTCGCTTGTTTCTCGTGGGTCATCATGGCTTGCAGCTTCTCCATACCCTGCACATGCATTGCATTCACATTGTCCAATTCGCTTTCCAGTGCTGTCAACTTGTCTAGGGTTTGGTCATGCTTTCGAGTATGCCGAAGACACTCGACGTCCATCGCCGCGAGCCGTTCGTCCTTGGCAGTTACCGTCGCCTTGAGCTCGTCGTATTGCCGGTCCCTGGCTTGCATCTCCTCGTCAAACACTTTGCGCTGTCGGGTCTTTTCATCGCGTAGCAACTCCCCGTGCATGCGGTGCTTCTCCACGTCCTTCTCGAGCAACGTCCGGTGCCGCCGCATTTCGTCGATGCTGCCTTCCACAGCTGCCACGTGTCGCTCCAGTCTGTCTTGGCATTCGGCCTCAAGTTTGACGCACAGCTCGCCCATGGCAGCTTCGTGCGCTACTTTCATCTGCAGCAGCGTACTTTGCAACCCATCCACTACACTCTTTTGCAGATGCAGGTCCGACATAACCGAGTCAGCATGCGCTGTCACATGCCGCAGTTGTTGCTCCAATCCTTCGATTGCCATCTCCGCACTAAGAAGACACCAAGATCACTCCATCATGTGTTGGGGAAATATTGAACCTGAAATAGATACAACGACACTTGTACACTGTAACGATGCAGCTTTGGCTGACTCTACTGATTCTACGCCTCGTGGTAGGCCCAACTCCAACGTACCGTCGAGTGGCAGCTGCTTTGGTTTCATCCAGCTCGACTCGCCACATGCTGTCGCGGCGGTCGAGCTCTTTCCGGCCATCATGCACTTGTTCGCGTAGCCGGGCCGCCTCGTCCTGGACGCCGCTCAACGCGCTTCTCAGCTTGGCATTTTCCATCTCGAGGAGCCGCGTCGCTTGATCGTGATGGGCTTTGGCTTGGACTAGCTCGTCGCCACTTCGCTGGGCCTGTCGCTCGGCACTTATCTTGGCTTCTTTGAGCTGGAGGACGGTGGCTTCGAGGGTTTGCAGCTGCCGACTGCCTTCGTCCGCCTCGCTCTTCCGCTTTGACTCGGACTGCTCCAAGAGCCGCGCAATGTCATCGCCGCGATCGCGCTCTTGGCCTTCGCGGCGCATGTGCCGCTCACGGTCGTCCCGCGCAACTTGGAGCTCCCGCTCCAGCTGCAGCACCGTTGCATCCCGCGCCTCCACTTGGGTTTCCATCACGTGCAACGCCTGTTGAAGCGCAGTCACTTGGCTCGACAGGGCTTCCTTGTCCGCCAAGTACGCAAGCAGCAGCTTGGCGTTGTCGTCGCTGAGGGCTTGGCTCAGAGGCGGGTCGTCCGCTGGCTCGGAACACTCCGGACCGCGGACGTCGTGCAAATCGTCGTCGGCATGCGAACAAGCTGACGTGGCAACCTGCTGGTTCCTCTTCAGGCAGTCCTCGATGGCATCGGCCGTGGCCATAGGCACGTTGTTCCCCATGAGCTGCAATCGCTGGAGGCTGTGGTTGCCCTCTTCCAACATGTCCAGAAACGCTCGCCCGCCGACAGATCCGATCTCGTTCCACCGCAGATCCATCTCCTCCAACGTGCGGTTGCGCTTCAACGACTGCGCCAAGCGCATGGCGCCGTCGGGCCCGATGCTATTGTTCCGCAGGTCGAGGTATGTGAGGGACGTGTTGAGCGCCAACGCACTGGCCAACGCTTCGACGCCGTGATCCAGCACCCCAATGCAATTCCATTCCAAGTTCACATGCTCGATGGACACTGAGGTTTTCAGCATCGTAGCGACGACCGCGATGCCGTCGGCCTGGATGCGGTTCCCACGCAAGTCGAGCACACGCTTCAGCGGGTACTGCCGGAGGATACGCACGACGTCCGCGCACCCTTCATCGCCCAGGTATGCGTTGCTGAGGTCGAGGATTGGGCCATCAGTCTCTGCCTTGGCACGGATCTTGTCTTCGCGACTGCGCGGGTACATCCGGCCTCAAATTGCTGCAAGATACCGTTTCTCGAACGCCATTGGCTACAAAGGACACTTGGAAACCGTGAAACCGCCATAAACTCGCACGCTTTCACTAGTCACGTTTGGCGCGACAACGTCCGTGTTTTGCGCATCTGCCGCGCGAGAAAGCCCGGTCCTTAGATACACGAAGTACGCCGTCCTTGCTAACATGGTCCGCTTTATGGTGATCCAGGCCAGCCTGTGGGAGGAGCTTGCTACTTGTAGAGAATTGTTCACCTAGGTCAACCACGACTGACGACTTGAACAGTATGTACTCCGGAGTACTGTACAGTACTTGGGTTGTTTTATCATGTCATTTTTACGTTGCCTAGGAGTACTGTAAGTTACAGAGGATTTTGGCGACGGTACGTCTCCGTGCTACACTGTACTGGGAGTTGAAAACCACGAACCGCAGATAGTACATCATTTGATTGACACAATACGATTTGACTGTTAAGAGTAAGTCGAGTTCTTGGCTCCTAATCGCCACACGACGGCTTGATAGGCGTGACGACATCGCTGTTGAACACGGTGACTTCCTTGGCGAATTGGTTGATGCCTTTGTAAAGTTCGAGGCCGCGTGTCGGGATGGTCGACGCGCTCACGTTAAATGTACGGCCGAAAATTTCAATCGTCAAAGCGGCCTTTCTGAACTCGCGGAACGCGTAATCTGGGAACGACCCATATGAAAAGTACAACAATCCGTGCGCCGGTCCAGGCGCGTACTCCCCCATGACGCTTTGCAATCCACGGGCGAGGACTTCGTACTTCTCGTCAAATCCTTCGCCGAGGGGCTTGTCATTGTCCCCATATGCGTACAAGATGTACCCCCCATACGAGTGAATGTCCAAGTACCCTTGGATTTCATCGCGCTTGGTTTCCAGCCAATGATTGATGCCCGCGGTTTCAGGCTCACTGAACGGCTTAGGTCCGGGGTACGACCAGTGGTCTTTGGTAGGGTTGTTGGGGTTCTTATTCGGAGTCGGCCAGTTGCGGTTCAAGTCGACTTCGTTGTCACTCTTGCGCTGGAACCGGGTGCCGTTCCACGTATTTTTGAAGCCGTCAATGTTGACGACCGGCACAAAGTACAAGTCGTACTCGTCGGCGGCCGTGGGTTTCTTGTTGGCAATGTCATCCAGAATCGACGCCAACGAGAACAGAATCGACGACCCCGCGATCCATTCGCGGGCGTGTAGTTGGCCTTGAAAGTACAGCGACTGCGAGTGGCCCTTGGTCAACTTGTACCCGTAAATCGTGGCGTTCTTGTACGTCTTGGAGATGGCAAACTTGCTCAGCAACGTCGGGTTTTGTTCGACCAATGCATCGGAGAACTCATAGATTTGATCGATGGTGCGGAAGCAGTTGTGGAACGCACTGGTCGAGTACTGTCCAGCTTTGAGGGACGGGATGTAGTTGCCGTTTTGTTTGTGACACTCGCGGTTCAACTCGGCATCGTCTACTTTAGCAGCCTCCTTCAACGTTCGAGCGCGGCCGTCGATGTCCGCGATGGTGTTGTTGGTTTGGGCGGTGGTCGCCGCAGCGAAGAGGGCAATGGCAGTCAGCAGGGAGAACTTCATGGCAAAATGAAAAATGAGCAAAGGGATTGTGGGCTGTGAAACGCCCTGGAAAGGGTTCGTGATGGTGTGGTAGGAGTTTGGATGGGATTGCGAGATGGATACGGGTGCGTAATGACCTTGGCAGGCTTGCTTGTGTACACTACATAGCCTTGGGATACATGCCGTATTCCGAGGTCATTGTTACTGATCTGTTACTGATCCATACCCATGCGACAATCGATGACGTGGCAGGCTCTAGAACGGTCGATTACCTGAAAAACAGTCTGAACGATGATAGCTTGATGACGAATTGGTCAAATGCCCACTCACTGGTAACCATGGAAAACCGTTCAAGAAATCTGAAGCCAGCAGGGCTGGGGAAAATATAGTTGCAATTTAAATTAATCGTAAGTGTCCCACTGCAATAATTTATTTTCTCTCCATGCTGAAAATCACCAGCACCAATAATAAATTGGTGGACCATATTGACCAATAATTGTTCAATTGTATTCAACCTCCTGACTTCTCATTAGTATGATACAAAACACCCTTACCCCAACTACAATGGCGACCTCGTACTCCCCAAAAGAACCAAACTCTTCTTCGAAAAGATCGACCACGAATCGTCTTCCGGTGACCCCAAAACTGGCAAGCACTGCATCGTCACAAGTCCGGACGAAGAGGTTGAGGGGGTGACATTGACAAGTTCGATGAGTTCGAGTATTAATAGTTTTAAAATTACCATTTCTTTGAAAAAATTCATGTTAAAAATATATAGGAAAAACTTGGCGCGCACCCCGGGAATTGGACCCAGGGCCCATCCACCACCGCCTGATTGTGAAACCGATATGCTACGCGCCAAGGCCTTGGCTTGTTACTTTGACCATTATTTAGGTCAGAATTATCGAAAATATAAACAATAATTGTTCCGAGTCAGCAATATTGAATTTTTCGGTTGTTCGAATTTCAATAAAATTATGAATTCTTCTTCCGAACGACAATATATTGAAATTATACATTGACAACTAAAATAAATTTAAATATATCTCTCCCCAGCCCTGATCACAAGGAAGGTTACGTGAGTACATTTAGTTGACATTGACACCTTCCTGGGAATAAATTATACAGCCGAAGACACCTCTTGTTTTCGATATATCTGAGACAATCTCCATACATTCTTCAAGTCCGGTGAACATTTGAAAATTTTGGTTTGAGCGGCTGATTCTAACGTTATTTGAAGAATACACACGCAGTTTTTGGATGAATGGCAATATAATTATAACGTTATGACCTTATAGCCAAGATTCTTCCCTTTTGATTGGTACAAATTTCACACGAATCCAATGATTGGTCATAAAACTGCTATGTGGCGAACATCAAACGTGTCAGTAATTGCCCCCTAGTGATTTGGGACGGAGAACAGTAGCGCACACTTGCAAACATGGGAATCAGAAAACCTATATACTACGTAGTACCACTCTGGTCCATGACCATTTGTTTCAGTGTGACACCATTCCTCAGTTTTTTTAGTTTTGGATCTGATTGGTACATTTGAAAACCAGATATATCATCTTTGATTGGCTACCGACGTTTCTCTGAAGTCGTTTTGGTGCAGGACGACGTCGAATGATTTAGAGAAAATCACCCGCTGAGCGTTCAATACCACTTCAATCTAATGTACTCGAGGCTCCAAAGATTAAAGACTTGTCTAGCCTACACAGAGCAGCCACACGTGCTTGCGAGTACCAAAGACTTTACTGTTAGCTAGTTGCGCCGTGTGTCGTTGTGCTAACTTAGTGTCGATCACCACACCATGCCGGTACAATGGCCAGGACGGACCCTATCCAAGGTTTGCTCTCTGATATAGCGTGCAACAGTGTAGAGCTATAGTTTATCTATTGAAGTTGCCCGTTCATTCGGTGTGTGCACAGAATTTCAGCTCTCTCGCCATGGCCGGCGGCTGATTTTGGGGTATACACCTCTATGTATCAATAAGCGTATGTATTCGAGTCGCGGACCAAAATAGTGCTTTTTACTGCGGTCCTGTATATGGTGTTTTTGTTTCCTACCACTTCCTACCAAAACCCTACCAGGTCCTACCATCCGTATAATTCAGCAGTTATTCGTATCCCCCGAAATACTTCGTGAAAATAATCGGTATTTGGGGCACAGGATCCATTGCCCCAACGAAGACAATTTACTTCCCAGGGTGTACGTACAGTAGCCCGCCCACAGTTTACAGTCAAGGAGCGCCGATTAATGCACCTCTGTAGAATTCACCAGACTGCCCTGTGTACTGCACTAAATTGGGCATCGCCTGAGGGCATAATAACGTTATCCATTTTGCGACTGATTTGTTGGACTGTGAATCATGATGTCATCATTTGCAGTACGCAATGTACCAACACTGCACGTCAAGGTCTCATTGTACAGACCTTAGACTAACGTTAGGTTTTACTAACGTTACGTATTAGCTCGAATATGGGTTGCAATAGTTTAGTCTCATTTCCAGGGAAGTCCTTGCAATTCAGTGACTTTCCATAATAACTTCAAAGGAATCTGCCTACCAAGTGACAACTGCCAGTCGCAATGCGTCACACCATGTCCTTGCCGAAAAAGTGCATGCGGTACAGCTCAAAATTCAAATACATCCATTGTTCACATTGCCTCAATGTCGAATGCGTCACATTAAAGGCAGACCTCCAAAACCGACCGCAGGTTTTTGTGGCGCAAAGCCCTACACGTGCGATGCCGTTCAATGATAGACCAGCGTAAGAGCCTTTGGGGCGCCTAAAACTTTTGTCAGCAGCCCTTATGTGTGGGGGGGGCTGCACGATCGGGACAACATCAACCGGTTAAATCCGTATAACAAATTTTAACCGGATTCCGGATAACTGTCCTACCATGTCCTACCATGCCATAATATTGGGAGAGGTATGAGAACACTCTATAAATACATACTCTGTATTTATAGAGTGTTCTCATACCTCTCCCAATTTCCATACTTTAAACAAGTCAAAACAAATGGGACATACAACATGTGCTACTATAATACAGTAGAGACGTCATACTAGTGTACGTAGTAATATAAGTACCATGGT